GTGAAGTAAAGCACATGCACACCCCACAGAAACGCCCGTCTCGGGGGGGCATGTTCACCCCCCCCTCAAGAAGCAACGCACCAGCCACTGTTTTTCAACCCCCCCCCCCCTTTTATGAACTGGAGGGGGACATTTCATGATGTAGGACTGCACATTGAATGGATGTTCTATGAGCTGTCAAAGACCCTCAAAGCTTCATGAGTCTAATTTGTAAAGTTAAATATTGTGAGAACAATGACTCACTTCCGTCAGAAAATGCAATAAAAGACCATTTTATTGTTTGATTCTTTGGAGATGAGACCAGTTTTGCAGGTTGATAAGGGAGTGGCATAGGTTGGAGAGAGAAACCTGCATCGTATGTGCTGCACTACGCGCTGACTGGTTTTGAGGATTGAGGGTTTTCTTACGTCCATGTTTTCCTGTAGGGCACTTTTAATTAGACAAAAAAGAATAATCACTACAAGGCTTATTTTTCTTTTCTCAGCAGATTCAGACATATGTGAGAAATTTGCTCATTAAAAGACTCCATTCAAATTGCAGCTGTTTCATGTGTGCGGTGTTGATGTTGTGGAATTGTATATTTCCGGTTTGATCGCCTTGAGAAACCTTAAGGTGCTTTTCTGTGGATTAACAGACTCTAGAAGCTGATGAAGTAGAGTTTCAGTTCAGTTCTGGTTGCGTGTTCCGGTTGCGTTACTCACAACTGTTGGATAATCTGACAATAATCCCCTAATTTCCCTCAATTCGAAACGTGGATCCAGTGAATTTTAAAGCGTAAACTCCTGGTTCTACCTGAATCGCTTCAGCGTGGACAAACCAAACATCCTCATACAAAGAAAGTCACACCACCAACAACTATGTTTCAATTCATTTCAAAACCTCCTCTCAATTCTACAACACAGATTTCATCTGCAGATGGAAACCTTTGTTCCTCTCGTCTTCTACATTAAGTCTCCAGAGGGATCAACGCGTTTAGAAACATCACAGCTTCATAACACCGGATACGTTGTGAACTGCAGGTTGGATTAAAAAGGGTCTCGTTACCATCTAATTGATTGTATAGTGACGCTCTGACCTCACTAATCAAAGACACGATCGGCCCTAAGACCCTTCGCCCATTTCAGTATCACACTAACGCAACAGGCAGGCAGCTCAATATCCTTCTGACGGGGACAATATGTGAATTCAATCAGTGTTCAACACGGTTGGGGGCTAATTACAAAAGGAAAGTCAAACTGCAGCTCTTACATTTGATTATTACTGTGTCTAGCACGTCTTTTATTTAGGTATCGACTTCACATCAATTCAATAACTCGTGGTGCTTTAGGATTCTGTAGGCGAATGACGCTTGTTGGGCTTTCTGTGGATGATGGAGGAATCACGTTTTTAACGGGAGTCGAAGAAAAACAAATTCAGACCAAAGTGTTGGAGTTGGCAACTGATTTCTCATCTTACACCCCCTACAAGCGTGTAGCGTGAAGCGCTACTACTTGCTTTTTGCATTTACCGCGCGTGTCAGACCCGCTAACGGCTCCGTTTCTTCCTTTTAGATGCTGAGCGGATCGCCACGACGCGACAAAGTCAAATCTTTGTCCTTTGTGGGTCTTTTTGCGGTCTGGGCTTGCTGTTCCTGAGGAAGTAGCCAGGAAGCCCTTACCCCAAAAAGTATCTGCACTGGACTCTGGCGTCTCTCTCTCCCCGATGGAGTCGTGAGTATCTCCCGTTCTTTAGAGGTCAGGACGCTGCTGATTTGTGGCCTACACGCAGAGCACTGGGAGGTGCTTTGAGATTAGCGCGGATTTCCCAGTGTGGCTTCATTTTTCTATTTTATATGTGCATGCAAATGGAACATTTTGATGTTACTGTGTTGCAGAAGTGAATTTGGTTGAGGGAAAGCACTGTTTTCCATTACTACTGTAATTTAAATGTGAACGGTAATGTTCTCTCCTCGTGCCTTTGCGTTGTACATTATTTGTGAGTCGTTAGAGTCATTGCTCTAAGTTCATTGATCTATGCGTGTTATTATGCACAGGTGGTTTTTATTATAGTATTCTTGTCATTAAGAAAAACAGAAAACAACAATTGAATGTATACAAGCCAGACATCGATAGAATTACCTCGAGGAGCAACATGAGAACAAGCTGAGGCCAAATAAACTTGGAGCTTGGAGCGTAAACTGGGATTATTTATCATCACCTGTGAGCCTTCACATTGTGGAGGCGGTTATTGTGCGTTGACGAGGATCCCTCACTTGCACTTCATCGGATCCGGGGACTGTTCACGTGCACGAGTACGCACCCGGGGACGCACGGGGACACACAGAGGAAGCATGCGGGACATGTCCTCCGAAGTGTTATTACCTGTTGAATAAATATTTGAATAAAGTAGATTTAATATTGTACTGTCTTGTTGTCCGTCCAATATATTATAACCAATAACTATCCTTTTGCGATGGATGTAGTCAAGTGTTGTCTTTTTTCTACTTTGTCTGCAGTGCTACACCAAGTGTGTAGGTTGTCATTCTTATTTTTTCAGCAAAAAGATATTAGGAAGTAATTTCGATTTCTTTTTCTCTTGTTAATAAATGCTGCGTAAAGACACTTTAACAAAAACAGGTCATGCAAGTACGCTGCAACTACTGCTGCAGCAAAGAGGAAAAGAACGACGCACTGACCATCGAGGCCTAAGAGTAAAACTGGCGGCTCTCCCTGCCCGCTGGGTGTCAGCATCGCATCAGTTCAGTGACCTAACAAATTCCTTACTGGTCAGAATGGAGCCACGGACTCCCGGCTAAAGCACAGCCGTGGCCCATGGTCTGTGTGTGTGTGTCACACGTGGTCCCCGGGGAACAGGACAAGTGCCTCGTCCGTGTCCACCGACAGGGACGCGGACACTCGTCTCCCACTTGTCACGGAGCCGATCAAATCGGTCGACCGCCGGGCCAAATAAAGTGGGGCTGAATGTTTTTTGGGGGAGTGTCGTATCGCTGAAAAATATCTTCTTCGGTAGCATCGTTATTTAGAACAAGACAATGAAATCAACAGTAAACGGTCGTTTTAGGCCTTTGTTAAGAGTCAAGGGGATGAAGAAGAGAAAGGAGGACATCACGCGGCCCTGAGATGCACTCAACACAAACGGGCAAACTGCTCCTGAGTTTAATCTCCTGGTGAATGTAGCTCTCCAGAGGATGTTTAGGGAACTGCACCCTGTGCAGCTCCGTCACAAAGTCTCGTTTGGTGTAACAAAATATGGCGTCTGAGGAGAAGTACGCTGGTCTGCTCGGTGTCTTTGTGTCTTCTCCGAGCTCTGCCGAGTGTTTTGTTTCAACGGAATGACGCGATTACGTTCAATGGCCAAGAGCCAACTCATAAAGGGGATTTGGAGTGCCGACTCAGCAGAAGGTCAATCTTGTTCCAGTCATTCATGATGCTGGTAGGACTGGAAATCCATATTGTGTTTTCACTCAGGCCTAAAACTTAAAGAAAAGAGCAACGGTTGTAAACTACAGAAACTGTATTACTGCTTTATTGTGTAGGATCGGTAGACTTTTTAATATTATTTTAATTGTATTCAAATCTTTAATATAATATTTCAAAAAACTATGGTAAGTTATGTATTTCTCGGGCACCTTTCCAGAAAACGGAAATAAAAATGTCATGAGGTGCTGACAGCGATGTAAACATTGTTGGAATATTAAGTTAAAAGGCCAACGTGGACAGAAATTCATGCAAGTATTATTATTAATGACATACAGTGAACTCTTGAATATGTTATTTCATTTAGAGTCTCGTGCACTTTTCCCAGGCATTAATAAAAACTGAATCAAATTATAAAATAAACACCGTGGCAAGATAATTGTGCGTAGCTTACTGCCGAGGTCACTCTGACCCACATAAAATCTCCCTAATACCAACATCATCATGCAGAGCGGCTTTGTGACACACACACACACACAGGAAAAACAGTAATGGTAATATGCACTCAGCAAATTTAACAGAGGGTTGCTCAACAATCACCCAGTACAGTACACAAGGTGGGTTTTTGAATAAGCAGAAAACCATGACAGCAAAAATCATAAAGTTTGATTATTTAGTAATGTTATAATGAATCTGAATCCTGCCGTTCTGCACAGATTCAATGCGTCCACACAGGCGCAGTGCCACACTCTGGCCAGCAGACATTGTTGTATATTGCATCGAATGATGCGGATGGACACAAAACTGCGTCACAGTGCGTCAGAAAACAATTTAACCACTCTGCATTTATTTAACTTTCCCCCAGTCGCTGAGCTTCCTCGCAGGGGCTGCAGGGTCGGGCCGCGTTTAGCACCATCCATCCATCCATCCATTGTCAAACCACTTATCCTGCACACAGGGTCACGGGGGGGCTGGAGTCCATCCCAGCCAACTTCGGGCGATAGACAGGGTACATCCTGGATTGGTCACCAGCCAATCGCAGGGCTACACAGAGACACACAACCATTCACACTCACATTCACACATCTACAGGCAATTTAAAGTCCCCAATTAACCTGATCCCCAGAGCATGTCTTTAGACTGTGGGAGGAAGCTGGAGAACATGCAGACAGAAAGGCCACTGGGCGGAATCGAACCCAGGACCTTCTTGCTGTGAGGCAACACCACCACGCCACCATGCCGCCCTGCGTTTGGCACCAACTGGTCTAAATTCAATTTCTTTAAATACTCAGTTTAGTAAATGGAGACGCACCAAAGGTCTCCTGACATGGTCCTCTGTCCCCTCTGGATGCCCACGATGCGGACCCATGGATGCTTTAAGGCTACCGAGCTTCTCCCTCGCATCAACCATTTCTGCCTTGAGGTGCCCCACATCGTGCCTGTTCAAAAGGGCTCATACCGCACCCGTTTCTTATGCATCCATAGTTCACCCTCCCAATAAAACAAAGCCCATCACGCACAATGCAAATCCAAAGTGTATGTTTTTCTGCCTTTCTGCTGAAATAAAACTTAAACCAGGCGCAATAAAATTGAAATCACAGCTCTAATGATTTTATTCCACATGTTGTGCATCGACCAGATCTGGTAATAAAGTGCAGCAGCAATACAATGCAGAACACTGTGCAGTGAAAGCATCACACAGGTCCAAAGTAATCCAGTAAATAGTGCAGATCGCTTCAAATGTAACGTTGTAACAGCAAAGTCAAACAATTGAGTAATTGATTCTTACAAAGAGCTATACTTTGTTAAATTACACCATTAAATCATGCTACAGCTGAAAGACAAAACATAACAAAACAACAAAAACATGCCGGGGGAATTGACCTCACGGCGTCGCAATAGATCTCTCAAACTAAACATGTAAGCCTCCCACATTTGAAATCTTTGCTTTGAGGGAGGAAAGGGCCAGGGAGTTCAAGTACTTCTCCAGCGTGGACAGGTACTCTTCTGGGTGGCACCGCATGTGGGCGGCGTGCTTCGACTCCTTCCACTTCCTGCTCTCCACCGTCACGCCCCTCCTCCTCCAGTGGTCGATCAAGTGTTCCATGTCGGCCGGGCTGCACAGGGCGTCGTTCTCGCAGAAGAAGAAGAGGGCCGGCGCCGTTATCGGGCTGTCGTGGAAGACCTGGATGCTGGTGTTGTAGAAGTCCGCCGTGTGCGTCTTGAAGAGCCAGAAGTAAAGCATGGCGGCGTTTTTGACCAGGCTCTCTAACCGTGGAACCAGAGTCTTGCCGAGGCCTGAATAACAACAGGAGACGGTAAATAATCAAGTGGGTTAGTATTTATGACATCCTGTATCTACATGTCAAGATGTTTTTTTATGCCTCGTCCCAGCTTCTTAAAAGAAGTAATTGCCTGCGCTTCCTCATCTGACATCAGTAAACATCCTAAATGTCTGTGGGTGTTGGACTGTTTGTAGGAGAAAGTATTTGAGGACATCTCGTTGGTATCTGCGAAACTGTAACAATTAGTTAGTAGCAGTTTTAGTAAATTCCTTTATTGAGCTAAAAGTGGCAGTTTTAGCTTCTTAACCTTGAGCAGCTGCTACCTTTTGGTTTCTTTGTACTAGAATATATCCAGTTTATTTTTTTCCAAACGTTGCCTTTTGGGTCTGAGACACTGTGATAGGATTTTTTTTTTTTTTCAAAATTCTGGGATACTTTGTGGATTAAACTATGCTTTTAAAAACCAGGGATTAAGCAATACTTCAAATGAATACGCTTTATAGACAGCCTTATATTTAAAAAAAAATGAAATGTTAAAATCCTCTGCAGACACTACGCAGGTTAGAAAACAAGCTGCCACAAATAGTTCCTGGACCCTTGACTGGAGCGGTGGATCAGCTGGCTAATGTAGTATTTAAAGAAGTGACACTGGAATCCAGCACTAAAGTCACTGGAAGGTGAACCCCACTCGCTCGCTCACCTATCGCCATGTGCTCCAGCGTGCCGACCACCAAGCTGTCGTAGATGTGCCCCCTCACCCTCTGAGCCAGGCCCGCGTGCTCCTTCCGCCCCGCAGCGGCGTGGGTGAGGGTCTGGGTGAAAGTGAAGCCGCCGATGGAGGCGGCGTGGATCACCACGGGCCTCCCGGAGAACCGAGGCCGCTCCAGGACCTCCAGCACCTGCAAGCCGTAGTCGAGCCCCCACCGAGGCCACAGGAAGTGCATGACGTTGCTCTGGACCAGGAGGACGTCCATGCCGCGGTCCAGGTAGAGGTCCCTGTACTTGCCCACCGCCGCCCGCCGGGCGCCGAGCCAGGAGAAGAAGAGCAGGAGGGGCCGCGCGGTGGGCGGGGAGTCCGCTGGGTTTCCGGGGGTGGAGGCGGGTGCGCGTGATGGGGATTCGGACGGCAAAGGGGAGGAGGAGGAGGAAGGATCCGCGGAGGGGGGGGCCCCGCTTGTCATCGCCGAGTCACTTGGGCCTGGGGTGAGGCAGAGTGCAGTGCGTGTCTGGCAGACTTTGGCAGCACGCGGTGTTCTTTCCTCGGCCCTCGCCGGCGGGACGTAGTAGTAAGTGATGCTTTCGCTGATGCTCTTGGCGACGAACCCGGCTCCGTTGACCTGGTCGCAGGCGGTTGCTTCACTCCTGAAGAGACTGGAATGAAGGGACAAAGCGTGAGTCGGATCGGGTTACTGTCCCGTCACAATTATTTCACCCAGAACGCAGCAGCTCGACTGCTCTTTGACCTTCCCAAAATTCCCCCACACCACTCCGCTTTCTTCACTGGCTACCAGTGGCTGCCCGCATCCAAAACACTATGGTTAAAATGCACTTATTGCAGGTCAGCTAAATGACCTGTAATGGAATTAAAATTAGATCCATCACCCTCTTTGAGGCCATTGTTAATCATTGTATTAATAGATCATTTTCAACACTGAAGGGCTTTTAAATTCCCATGTCCCCCGCTCGCGTTTGGGGGCGTGCCCTGAGTGGGGGGGTCCGCCACCCCTGACACTTTCCGGGTTTTCCTTTTTGGGGGGGGGGGGGGGGTTTTGGCGCTCAGAAAAGGAAGCGGGGCTTGGGGGGGAAAAAAAACGGGGTTCCCTTTTTCTTCCCCCCCCCCCCCCCCCCGCGCGCAGCAAAGGCAACTGTTGCGAACCGCAGAGCTGATAAATGAGCGTCACGCGCGAGGAGGATGCGGACCAGCGCACCGTGATACGAATGACGCGCGTGCAAGTTCCGCGAGACGAGGTCACACGCGACGTTCATTTACCCGATGGCGAGAGCCAGGTTCCCCATCCCGCGAAGAAGGAGGCGGCCGGTGGCTGGTTGACGCAACAAAAACAGAAACAAAATAAAGGGGGGAGGGGAGGGAGAGAGACTCGCGAAGGTCGGTCAATTCATCCGGCGGTGCCGGTGTGTTGTGTCGCGGTTGTGGTCCTGCGCCGGGTGGTGTATCCTTCTTCCGGCGGGGAGAGCGCCCCCCCTCGGCGGTCAGCGTCGCTTTTATTGGACACACACACGCACACAAAGGGAGGGGGGGGGGGGGGTAGGACACGGGGGTGTTCAGGCTTTGAGGAGGTCGGACGGGTGGCCAGGTAGACTGCGGCACATAGACCGGTTTTCGCTCGAGGACTGGTTTGTCTTGTGAGACAGGTGACGTTGCTTCCTGGTCGTCACGTCGCTCTCGCGCCCATTGGCTCGCGCCGCCGAAGGGCACGTTGTGCGGTTGCAACGCGTCACCGCGCAGCCTGCCGAGGTCGACGTGTTAGTATGAGCATGAATTAAAACGTGTGTTTGGAATAAACCTGATATTGTTGTGCTGATATTGCGGCGGGGGCGGGTTCTATGCCGGCCGGGAGGGGGCGCCAACGGACCGGACACTTGTCACTTCTCCCACACGCAGAAGATTGTATTTAATGGCACTACATAAAGAATGCGAACATGGCCCGCGTTTGGCATTCATTTTGTATTTCTAAGGGGAATTAATGTTTTGTGTTTTGTTTTGAAAGCATATCTACAAATCAATTTCCTTCGTTTCCAATTTGTACTGAATAAAACGCAACCCACTGGTTTTAATTCTGTATCATATCTACTGTAATGCTTTAAAGATATCATGTCTCACACAGCAGGTCCATCCAATCATGAAAGATTGGGAAAGGTAACTTTTTTCTTTCCTTTATCCATCTGTTCCTTTAAATTCCACATCCGTCGGGTTTCTCAAAACACTTGTGCCGTTTTCATCATTTTAACCGCAACTTCATCTAAATAGGGAAACAAAACAGGCATGAAGCATGAAGCAGGCCCACATTTGTTCTGACCTAAACTGATGAAATAGCTGCAACACGTGTTTGTGTCACAAGATGGAGCCAGACTAGCACGGAAGCAGCAGAACTCTACTATTTCAGGATGTGGATTTATGTGTGCAATAAAGCTCAATGGTTGCATTGTAAAGGTGGCAGAGGATGTGATGCTCTCAAGTGACTTGGTTTCCATATCGCTTAATTTAAAAACCCTCACAGAAATGTTTGTAATTAGACAAGTTTGTTTCACAAAGTGTAATTCACTGCATACGTTGTTTTCTTTTTCACGCCGCCCAGATTACTCAAATCACTCAGATCAAAGCTGTGACTTGTGCGAACCACTTCCTGAGAATTGAACTCTTTGCCGTTGTAACACGAATGACAGTAACGTTTGTCAAATACTTACTACTTATGGGGGAACTAAGCTTGGCTGCACGGCCACGAGAATGAAAGGCCTGGCATCACCGTCTCTCCATGTCAGCGCTTCTTGCTGTGGGTGAGGGCCGCGGCCTTCACGCCAGCGTTATTCGGCGCCCGGTGATCGGCTCTTTCCATTCTTTCACATCCAGGCAGTTTTAGGTCATTCGCTCGCTTTCTTTCCAAAGTCATTTCCGCCGTTCCACACCGACACACACACACGCGCAGACACATATTACCTAATTTTTCCCATGTAGGATACGCCTGTTCTGTGCATACAAATATATATATATAATACCTTTTTTCCGAAAACTGTGTTAGCCTTTAACTTGGTTTTGAGAAAATCCCTTGCTTTTTCCTGATAAAAAAACAGGATACTGTGTGATGGAAACACCTTTCCAGGCCTCAGATCTGGACTGCTCCTCCCCAACCCTAAATAATGTCAAAACAAACGCACGCCGGTCTACTGCTAACTGCTCCACTCAACAGCTCGTCACCAAAACGCTGGTAAAAGATGCTAAAACTGTCCAACGAGCTACGGGGAACAGCAGAGTCACCCTTCCCTTTACACATTTTGAACTTCCCACGTTTTTAGTCCCACAAAAACACGACCCTCCCCCCTCAGCACTAATCTCCCCTCTCCACCCGACGTCCCCGTCCTACGTCGACCTCTTTAGCCGCCCTGCTAAACATTCCCCTCATCAAAACTCTTCTTTCCCAGGAGAAGAGAAACTCCATCAATCTCCTTTTGACTCCCCCCCCCTGAAGCCCCAGGGCCCCCTCACCCTTCTGCCCCTCTCTGCCCCTCCGATCACCCTCGTACTGCTGCCGCACAAATCCCCGGCCTTCCCTCCTGGCATTGTTTCCCCCGTTGGCCCCTATTGTCCAAGCAAAGAAAAAAAAAAGTCCTGGAGGGAGGGAAGGCAGAGGAGAAACCCAGGGGAGGAGGGGAGAATGTGCCCCGTCTCTCCGGGAGGGAGGGGTCCACACCCACATCAGGGTGTGGAAAATCTGTGGCAGCTTCCTGCTTTCTCTTCCAGTGTTTCCTTTTCACTCCCCTCGCTCATCTCGGTCTGATTCCCTCCTGGCATCACGTGCCTTCCTCGCTCTGCATGTGGGATGAAATGACATCAAGCATGTCTGTGTTTAATACTCAGATACAAGATGTCCTTCTTCCCATGTGCATTGTGGCAACAAACCAACGCGAAACTAAATGACCACAGCAAGGCGCCGCTGGTATTGGTGCTTTTATTTGTCAGTGTTAAGAGGGATACTTTAACATGAACCAACAACTGGAAACAGCTTAATGATTACTCATGCTTGGAAGGCATAGCCAATCTTAATGAAGCCACAAGATGGGTCCTTCTTGGCGTCAGCATCTGATGTTCCTGGAAAAAGGCTTTACTCCAAGAGTGGAAGATCTTAAAGTTGATTATGGGTGCGTCTGGTTCCACTCCCCGATCAGTCATTGTACGGTGTGAATCACTGCAATGGATTCTTTCAGAGCCGTGTGTGTTGGTCAACACTCACCATCCTTTTATCTCTAGTTTGGTTCCGCCTAATTTTGCCAAACCGTTTAATGTTTAAGAGAAACGTATTGATTGCAGCAGCCTCAAACATTCTAGATTCTAAATTCCCCCATAAAATGAGAAAACGGCTGATACAACATGTCCATCGACCTCTTCTGTCCTGCTGCCCCATCTTGACCTTTACCCTAACTGTCTAACCGAGTTCCTTTTCTTGAGCCTTTGCTAGCAGTTCCTTTTCTTGTGTCTTTATGTGCAAGTTTCATAACCTAGTTTCATATGTATCAGTGGAAATTCCCCGCGGCCCACCTGCCACCGGGGGCGACCCTCCTGTGTGTGTCCATAAAAGCTCTTCTTGATCGCTCACCAAGACTGATTTATCAGATAAACATTGAAACAAATCATTCTCTCCTCCCGAACTAGCAACAGAGTACTCACCCCCCCCCCCACCCCCGCCCCTTCCATATGTGGGCTGTGATTTGCATTCATAACATGCTTAGAGGATGTTGACACCTGTCGTCCGAGGGAGACCTGTTTTTTTTTTTATCCCATCAATCCTCCTCATTGGTATGGAAACCACGTTAGATCTCCAGCAGGCGCAGGTAGCTGATGTATTAAACATACAGTCATTGATTACTGATGACCAGCCCGCGTCTCCCCTGGACGCACAGACCCCAAAAGTCCCGTTAGGAAACTCTAGCTGACGTTTTGTCTCCGGTCTGTTATATTTAATGTAGGTGTGGCACAATGGGCACGGAGAGGACTGGTCTCTGATAGAGTTGGCGGGCCACAAGTAGAATTGGGTGGATGCCTGCACTGAAGTGGATGAATACAGGCTGCCGTCAGTTGACTGAAGTGCTTGATGTCTAAATGCATCTTCAAATTGTGTTTTTATAGTCACTGTTCTTACAACATAGACAAGTGATGATGGCACGTTATTTATCCCGAAGGCCGTTTCCTGGTGTCTCACAATGAAATGCAGATGATCAGTCCACCAAGGTCATCTCTGCTCCTCATCTAACAGCCCGATTCAGCCGGATAAAATCTGCAGGGAGACGCCAGAATTTACTTACACTCCCACACACACACACTCCCACACACACACACACACACCCTTCATCAAGAGTAAAGGACGTTGTGTCACTCGTTAAAGGAGGTGTGCATTGGATTTCTCCTCCCGTCCGATTGTCTTCATGGATTTGCACCGTGACGGCTGCCGTTCCATACAAAGACCTTTATTAATAACACTGTATTTTTCTGTTATTTAAAACGTGAAATGACCAAATATTCACCAATGTTGACATGTGGTGTCAGAGAAGTCTGCTGCACACAGACACACGGAGCAAAGACACATTATAATGAAATGCTTAAAAACCTCTTCACCTCTAGTTTTTGGGAGATTTCACGGCTTGCATGACATAAATATAAAACGACAGCGAAAGGGCCCCTGTGGGTGATAGAGCCAGTAAACTATTGATAGAGTCCATTGTTGTTCTTTTAATACTAAGCGCTCTTTGACCTCCCTTATCAGCCATTGTCTGGCACTTTCCGCGTCCTGGAGCCAGCACGCTGTACAGACACACACTTATTCTGAAATAGTAGTATTAGTATTCTCTGGAGGACAGAGATCTTTGTCCTGAACACGCAGCCAGACCTGAGAAAGCATGAAAAGTGCCTTCACCACACTGAAGTCCACTGACATCAGTCAGACCGATAAGACAGGAATATGTGTAAGAGTGCGTGATACGGTGCACAGGGTTATGTTGAATTAGAAGAGGGGGTTTTCTTAGCATTACAGTGGGATAAAGGGGCTCCTTTGAAGTGTGAGATAACCTCACTCCTCTCTTGATTATTTTCTCAACTAATTAACTAATGCCAGAGAACGGTGAGAAATTGTGATCACTATTTAGGCCAATGTTTCGTCTTGTTTTGTCCGAGATCCAAAGACACTCGATGCCACGTTGACTCAAACGATCTATCACGTTTTTTGTGTGTTTAATATAAAAGGTTGTCATCTTAGTCTCTTATATTTATATGTTGCAGGACCAAATAAAAAATAAAAGACTGTATAAATATGAGAATAGAGAATCTGAAAATACAAAAACCGCACTTAAGATCCTTAATTAGGACACAGATGCGGTTGGTCTGTTCTTGGAGATGTCCTTGGGCACAGTTTAAAGATCAGCTCGCCTCGTCCCAAATACATTACTTACAGAAGGACGTTTTTCAATCTGTCCGGGGATCAGAATGGGAGTGAAGTGAAGCCTGCGGGCAGGAAACAAGCTCATGTGTTTGCAGTTATAAAATAAAGGATTTGATTTCTTTATGGCATCAAACAGACCTTACAAAATATATATATATATATATATATATCAATACATAAATGTACATATGGTGCTTTTCGGATCCTGGGGACAGACTTTACAGTATCAGCACGTATCTCGACTACTTGTAAGGGTCACAAAAATACAGGCGTACATCTTCAGACAATCCAACCCCAATCATTCTGTATAAAAATAAAACAACACATTCACTAGTAGAAGACGCAGCCGAGTAGCAGTGTTATTTTCATCTCGCTGAGGTACAAAGTAAAGGTGGTATGAATAGCAAGGGGAGTCAAGGTCAGATTTGTTATTAAGGCGATGTTGTATTTGCCGGCGGGACTCGGGAGGGGGCTTCATCACATGCAGCAGCCCTCAGCCACCGCTCAGGAAATGATGCTTCCTCGGGCTGAGACTTTCCTTATTGTTTCTATGTTTAGGAAATTCCTCAGAATCGTAGAGGCGGCGATCTAGAAGGCGTTTAACCAAAGTTGGTGCACGACAATAGCCGCCTCCATCGATCGGACCCCTGTGACGTCAACGGAGATAAGTCTTTAACCTCATGTAAGCCTGGACATGACGTGGGTCGTGCTCTGCATCGGAGGGCCGGGATGGAAATGAATAAAACAGACGTCCTAGAGGACAGCCCGGGTCTTATTTTAGAGATCCGTTATATTCCTAAGAATTATGGCTTATTACTGGACGATTATGTACCTCACAATAATATCCGAGGCCATACAGCGTCAAAACAGGAACTTATTGTTCCAGATGTGCATGCTATTTTCATGCAGGAGACCAGAGTTCAGCCCCCCCCCCGTCACCACAACCGCGATTTAACCGTAGCTAACGTTTTTTTCACCACAACCTCCCATTTTCTAAAGACACATGTTGGAGATATTAATGTTCTGGTCAGGCGGTGGGGTTGAACTTTAGAAAGACCAAAAGGCTAAAACGAGATCTGAGTTCTAACACTGGAATTAACCTTTAAAGCTCGACTAAATGCGAAGACAGCCTGTTGTTTTTTTTATATCGGTTGGTGCTTTGCTTGGAAAGCCAAAAAGTCCCCATCAGCATTCTAGTTACATCAGGTGTAAATATAGCACGGGGAAAAGTGCTGCATTTTGATTGGACCAGCTTACAGCCTGTGTGCGTGCGTGTGCACAGACAAGTGTGCAAAGCCTGCGCAAGTCATATGTGAGCGTGTGTTGTTTGCGACGCCGTGTTTCCCAGTGTTTGCGGCACTGGGTGATCTCCACTAATGAACAATCTGCTCGCTGAGGTGTGACCGCTGGCATTGTATTGGGAGCCACACTGTGCATTGCTGATGCAGTGGGCGAGAGAGGTAGAGATACATAGAGAGCGAGAGAGAGAGAGAGCGAGAGAGAGAGAGAGAGGCAGTGAGAGAGAGAGGGAGAGTGGGAGGGAGGGGATACATGGAACTCAATTCCACACAGACGAACATGCACTGGCTCAGAAGGACGCCGTCTCCTGCAACACGGACACACGTATTGTTAGCTGGGGACTCTGCACTTCATTTTAAACATCTGTAGGTAAGTACCATTTTCATCCGTCCGTCCACATACTGTCTCCCTCTGTCTCCCTCCCTCTGTCTCCCTCTCTCTCTCTCTCTGCTCTGCATCTTTGACTGTGAGTGTCTGACTGCAATGTGCATGTTGTTACACGCTGGGAAGCACAGTGTAGCTGTATAGGTAAACACACTGACACACACACACACACACACACTCGTGTTAAATGTCCTTTCACACGTGTAAGAAGGCTCGTGGCTGATCAGGTTGCATTGACGCTTAAACGATAAAGGAGAGCAGAGGGAGTCATCCGGCGATAAATCAAACAGATGTGTGCGTTGTGTATCATGGTTGGAGTGTGTATGTATGTGTGTGTGTGTGTTTGTCAGTGTGTCATCTGCATAAACATGATCTGTAAATCCCATGAATAATTATGTCCATGTTGACTCTCTCCATTTCAGCATAATCATGTGCAGGATTCGTATACATGCGCGTGTGTGTTTTCACGTCTTCTCTCGCCGCCATGCGTTGTTTGGCGCGTGACAGGTCATGTGAGCGCAGCAGCCTCCCACCAGCGAAGCAGCGGCAGGCCGAAGGTGCTCAAATCCCGAGGGATTAGCGAAACGTCTCTGGCCTCAGCTGTCGCCATGGCAAAGGCAGCCGGTGGAACGCCGGCGCTGGAGAGCATCCTTTGTAGGCGCCGCCGCATGCATCACCTCCAGGGGCTGGCACAAGCCTGGGTCTCAAGCACGGGGAATATGTTTTCGTGAGAGGTCGGGGTCCTGGTTTAAACAGGTCACGGCAGATGTGTGGAGAGCCAAACTCATCGACAAGTCCGGCAGGTGTTATTCACGGCGCCGCTTACGTCGTGAGAGGGCCCCTTGTTTGTGGAAACCGGCTTTGTAGGGTCGCGGGTCGCCGATCGCCAGAGGGAACCCCGCTGGTTAGAACAGCGAGGCCTTAATCGGGTTCAGTAGCACGAAGCCCGCGGGACGTCTACGTAACCGGTTGGAATCCTGCCCGCGCTGCTGATTTGACCAGAGGTTTGTCTGTTCTCGGACGTGAGAGCAGCTCTCATCAGGGTCAATGACGCCACGCAGGGGCTATTGGCTGCGGCTGGTTGCACCGTTTCTATCTATTGATCAACATGGAAACTAAACAGGGGAATTATATAAGAAGAGTGGCTGATTAAACACCCTGAGCAGTGAAGGCACAAAGTTAGCTGATACCACCTATTTCTCGTCTTGAAGCCGTACCGATCTTCCCATCCATCTCTCCGAGATATCAATAACTTGACAATACTAATATCAATAACATGAGTGATTCATATTGAACCTCAACATTGAAATGTATCAGAATCAGGATTTATTGATGTAAACATTGTAGTGTGGCGCGTGATCTTGACGGTGCTGTACACGTCTCTCCTAAACCTAATAAGAAAAATAAACCTACGGATGTTTGGTCGCCACATTAAGCAATTTAAACATCCTATAAAGCCTTTTGCTTATGGTAAATCCCTGCTGGTTTAAAGCGGCCCGGCAGATTGAATCTGTGTATCGACATCACTTTGTAGCCTCAAAGTCAGAAGAGGACAACAGGAAAAAGCCATATGTTTGTCCCTCAGATTGGAGACATAAGCCCTGTGATATTAAAACGCTGCAAATGGAAGCCAACAGCGTGTGGGGGGGGCCCCCTTTTAGAAACCACGGGGGGGAATATAATATAAATACCCCCCAAGGGGAGCCCCCCTTTCTTAAATATGGGGCCCCCATTTAAGGTATTAAAAAACCTCTTCCCGAGAACCACTTTGTTGTGGGGAGGGATTATATTCTCTTTTTTCCGAACTCTTGTTTCCCCCACCCTCTCTCTTTTCCCACAAAATTTTTTCTCCCAAAAAAAAAGGGGGGCCCAAAAAATTTCCCCCCCCCCCCCCCCCCCCCCCAAAAAAAAACCTTTTCTTTTTAAAACATCCGGGGGGGCCCCCCACTTTTTTTTCATTTTTCCCCCCCTGCTTTTTTTTTCCATTGGAAAACCCCGGAAAACAGCCGGGGGATCCGGGGATCGGTTTTAAAAACCCCCCTTTGGGTATAAGCGGGGCGGGACCTTTTCCGGGGGAAAAAGGTCTCCCCCCGGGGGGGGGGCTGTTTGGAAACAAAAGAGGCCCATCCCGGGGGGGGGGGGGGGGGGGGGGGTTCTCATGAAACACCCAGACGGCCTAAAGCTGAAGGACAGGAGTCTGTTTGCGGAGTTAATAAAAGAGGTTCTGTCAACAAGTTAAAATGAGCATCAGGGAGGCTGCAGAGTTCACTCTCTCCTGGACCACGAATCCCACGGCCGAATGTCAATACGCCGTCTTTGTCTCTCTCTCTGTCTTTATTGCCCTTGTCTTTTGGACTCTGCCCTTATCTTCTGTCTCGCTCCAGTGAGCACGCTACAGCGGCAGGCCCGGCCTTTGAGCAGCTTGACAAAACGCCGACAAAATAATAGAGGGGAGTTGTAAATTTCCCCCCCCGGACACTTTTTATAGTTCCTTTCCACTTTCGGCTCTGTTGCCCGTCGCACCAGACAATGGCTCCGCTAACAGGCACCTTTTTGATGTGGTGACGAGAAAGTTAACGTCCCAATGTGGAACTGAGTAAAGCACAAGACGTGTTTATTATTATTTAAATATTATTATTATAACACGAGATTAGTCATTATTTCCAAAAGTGTCTTTACATGGAAAAGCTGCTATCATTTTGATTTTATTTCATTACTGCATCACGTGACTATACGTACATTAAGAGTTAAAAGACGGAATATTCATCAGGTTACCAGAAAAACAACTTTTTTGCCAATGCAAGATTTAAAAGGACCCAGCTTAGTACAAAGTATACAGAGGTATCATAATTCTGATGAGCCAGTTTCCTGTTTTCACGCTGATACCGAGCTAAAGTGATTCAGCAAATTACACACATTCCCCAGATTCATACAAAACCGATTGGTTATGTATCGTATCAGCAAACAGGCAATTCAGGCTAAAAGATCATTTACCCAATAGGCTTTAAAATGGATTAAAAATGTGTCTGTACATAATAACATCAACATCAACATCTCAATAAATCAAATTATGTAGAAGTAGCGCCAAAACCATCTGAATCAAGCCAAGAAAGTGTGCATGCGTGGTTGTGTATCGACTACACAACAGTACCAGAGGGGAAACAAGCACACAATCGCACTAAGGTACAGAGGCAGATCCGAATGCATCCACAACAACATCTCAGCACGTTTAAAACGGGGCCGCGTGTGGGTTGGTTCGAGCGCTCGGGCGTCTAAAAACAACCCCATCTCATTGCAAGCCGATTGTCCTGCTGCTCAGTCAAAATGCCAAGACTGGGGAGTGTGTGGGAAGCTTTATGCTTGATTCCCCACCGCTAGTCAGGCTTCATATCCGGGCTTCTCACTGTGCATATAGGCTGGTTTCATCCCTCCAGGTGGCAACGGAGGGGGGGAGACGCTGCCTGAGACTCCTCGTGGTGGAGGCAGATTGATCTTGTGGCATGCGTACGAAGGAACATAGCGAGAACAACGGAGGGCAGAGAGAACTAGCTTGGATTAGGCGAGGGGGTGTAGGGGGGGGGGGGGTGAGCCGTTAATAAACTTGCCACAAAGGAGGACGGAGGCTGACAACGCACAAAACGGGGGGAAATAACACTCCAGATTGAGAGCAGGAGAGAACACGGTGGATATTGATGTTTTCTCTTCTCCACCACACAAACAGATCTTTCTCCCTCTGCTTTAAAGAACAAAATAAATCTGAGATTGAAAGCGAGCGAGACCGAAGCTGGATGGAGGGGTGGGGGCGTGGCGGCGTGGGTGGGGGGGTTTAGTGCAGCCGAAGCATACAGGTTGTTGTTCTCACAGAGGAAATTCCATTGGTGCTCCAGTCTTTTCACTGAGGCAACAGGCTAGTGACTTTGAACCGCTCGCTGCTCCACAAAGAGATAAAGAGGTCCCTTCTATTCTTATGTTGGCAACCGTAGACCCTAAGTCTCACCCCCCCTCCCAAACCCTACACACACACACACACACACACACACACACACACACACATTATTTCTTCAGAAGAATACATACGGATGGAAGTTCTTTAAGTTGAAGTTCTCTAATTGGTCGGTCACGACATAATTATCCACCACCACATCTGAGGGGACACCCACTAATTGTGGGGCGTCCGCAAATACTTAAGCACTTGTTGTGATTCGTGGTGGATGACGTATTTTTTTCAGCCATCTGACTTCAGCCTTCGCCTTCATCAATAGGTGGCAATGGGCGGCTTTGCTGGTCCCTCAGGAGATGGTGAAGAAGCTGAAAAGCAGGTCACACTCAAGAAAGTTTGATGAGAAAAAAAGAAAAAAAAAGAACGAACAGATGCTAATTCTATCAAGTTCCCGTGAACTCTAATTGAGCTGGTGGTGAGTGGATTGAAAGTGTGTCACCCGGTGTCCTGTGTGTTCTTGTCTTTTAGGCCATCTTGCCGGAGAGCGAGGCGAAAATGGAGAACAACATGTGAGGCGGGCGACGACGCGCCCCTGTCGACAGCATGCTTCGCCTCCTCCAGACCTCGGCTTTCTGCTTCTGGTGCTTTCTGCTGCTTCACAGGCAGGCTGCGGCCGACGTAGATGCCCCTTGGGGGCCGACGTCATCGAGAGAAAAGCCACGTGGAATCTATTATTGGTGGACCCCATCCCTGCCGAAGTTACCTTCCCTTCCCTCGCTGCCCTTCGGCATCCCCATTTTTGGAAGCTCGAAAGTCAACAACGAGTCGCCCGCGACCGCTCTAACGGAGCCAATCGATCGCCTGCAAAAACACTTGGGTTCAGGGAAAGGCAGCTTTTCTGAGGCCTCTGAATCCCCTACCACTTTGAGTCAGGTGCTCCTAACCAGCGTGACAAAGATAGGAACAGGGTCACTTCCCACGGGGACATCGGATTCTCCGCTCAGCAGCAGCGCGCCGCAGAGCGACAATGAGGCCCTTGTTTTAGACTCCTACGCTCCCACAAGCAGTTCTGTCAGAAACACTCTGGTCACCAACGGTCCCACCAGCGCGAGCCCTCCACGGCAAAATCCAACACACACACACCCGCAGAGGGGCGCCGCCTCGGCCGCGACCCAACAGCTCCCGGGGGAGCACACGGGTAAGGAGGCCCAAGGTGTTACACAAGACATCCTTTTCACTACAGCAGCAGAAAGCACAGCCCCCACCGCCTCTACATGGACAGCAGCCCAAACCACGACAACCCCGGTACCGGTGGAGACCACTCTACCCGGCGGAGACCCCCTGAGGCCCGTTACCCCGGCTACGTCCGCCGAAACGACGTTTGTAGAACCGCGAGACTCAACTTTCGGCATTACCCCGCGTGCTGCGGAGGCAACAGCGGCAGAAGCTCAGCCCACCTCGGCCCAGAGCGGGGTGGATCTGGGCTTCCCCGAGGCCAGGTCAGGGCGCGGGGAGGAGAAGCTGCGGGCGTACACCACTGCCACGGGGATCGAGTACAAACTGGTGCCGGAATCCATAACAAGCCCAACTCTGAGCCAAAGGGTGGACTTTCCAATGGCAGGAGGTAAGCAAAGTTAAACCAATCAATAGTGGCTGGATTGACTGTGTGGCTGTGATCCATCATGGGCAGACAGGTCTTACGCTTGCAGTAGCTGGCTTTCAAAAGGCCGCAGACCGCTCGGCCCGGTTGATGACATTTCCGACATGGTGAGTAGTCAAAGGTCCAACATTAGCGAAAAAATCCAGATCCTGTCGACACTCATTGAGCACAACAATCACGTGATTGAATATCTGTTTGCTCCGAGAGATCATTAAAGAGGTTGTTCTGTAAAAGCTGGTGGTTTATTACACTGCGGTGGTTTTAATGACTCAAGGGGACAAATTAATTTCTGCAACTTGACAGATTTCTGAAATGGGAGTTGTTGCACAGCGAAGCAATCCAAATCATACGCAACACAATCAAGCGTCTTCAATAGGTTTCCAATGCTCGCTCCCCGCAGACTTCAATAAAACAGTTCCATCACGCAGGGAGGAAGGAATACAGATGAAAGCATCAAAGTCTGTTGTGCAATCTGTTTTGGATGGTTAGAAAACCTTTTCTTGTGAGTAATTTGTACCACCCTATTAAAAAATACTTTATTTAACAATCTTTAATGAGTTTTAAAGCAGCAATTAACCAATACCCCAGAAAATGGAAAAATAGGGGTTTATTCCCTATTTAAAGGCAAAGATGAAGAGCTAAAACAGCTAGTGGTGTCCAGATAAATTTCAGATTTTGACACGACATCTTCAAAGCCCATCCCCCAACACCGGTGGCAGTCTGCTGTCTGCCTGCTTAATGAGTCTTCGGCAGAAGGTGCTCCTGCAGTTACAGACGCATTCATCATGTCAGTTCAAAGGTCGGGCGAGGAACCGATGAGTCGATTATTCTCTGCCGGGGGGTTCGGTGTCCGTGTGATAAACCCATGATCTTTTGGTGAGTGTATGCACGCAGTGTGCAATGTGTAGGACATTAATATTCCGCAGTTGCATATTGTTTTTTCTTAGGTAAGATTATGCTGCTGTCAAAACTAATGTCCATTATCATCAGTTCAAGTAGAATCTTTGAAAATGTCAGTAGCTTCATAGTAAAATAACAAAAAAATATCCTTCAACTGTTCCATAAATTACCTTTTTTTTTAATGCTAGTACAATTTCTCTTAAATCATCTTGACTTCTTATTGACTTTTTACTTTCAAACATACGACACTCTCTTCCTCTGTTTATAAGCTTTTTAAGTAATTCTTTTGCACGTGTGATGCAGTGAAAAGCAACTAAACGGACCTTAGAATCAGACTGTTTTGTCCACGGCTGCTTCATAGCAAAACACGGGCGTTCGAATAAAAGTATGCTCTTGTGTACAGATAAATGCTGCACACTATCGAAAAAGTACATCCAGGCACTCCGTGCAAAACAAAACAGAGCCACTATTCCCAGACTGCCTCACGCCGCCTGTATTGAAACTGGTGTTGTCATGTCTACAGCGCCCGGTGTGTTGTGTCTGCACTTGTTCCCAGTTGTGGATCGTGTGGCGGCATACAGAGGAGATAGGGATCTCTGGCCCGGGTTGGGGAGGGCTGCCGACCGTGTATCAGTATTCCAAACGCACGCTCAGCGAAACCACCTCCTCTCCACTGGGACCATCCGCTCACCAGTCGCTGCTCGTGGAGGCTGAACATGCTTCTTTCCATTTAGTCTCCTCCCTCCCTCCCTCGGCCTTTTTCCAGTTTTTAAAAAAACATTTTCTATTCCCTTTCTTTCCACGGATAGACACGTCAGGCAAAGGACACTGGAGGAGACTAATATGAAAATGAAAGCACGGCGCCCCTGCATTACCATAAATTATCCCATTGTGAACGTTCTATCCGCTGCAGTAATGCACTTTTAAAGCTGCTCAGGGTGAATCACTTCCCCACTGGAGGTGTGGAACATCTTCGCCGCACAGCCGAGTGGGTTTGCAGTGATCGAGGCCGGCGTTTGCTATGTGTGGCGTTGCCCTTGAGGAGGCTGAGAAAAAAACAGCACCGCTCTGCATCTGTGTCAAATCCTGCACTAAGGGACACGCCCACGACTGATAGCAAGGCCAATGGTGACTAGAGAGAACAGAACGAGAGCCCAGGCTGAAGCTGATTAGATGTGGGGGTTGAAAATGTAGGTTTTCTCAAGACTCTCGGGCAGCCGTTGCTGGAAAAAAATGTCTTTCAAAAAGCTTTCCTTCGTACCGCTCTTTCTTTCCCATCCTCCCACTTTTTCCATTACTGTACGCTCTACTAATAGACGGGGGCGAGAGCAGACCTTTAAGACACTCCATTACCTGCAAGGATGTATTGTCCCCCTGATCCCAGCTCTAAACACCAAACTGCAAAAGCACGTTCAATGATAGATTAATTGATTAAGCAAATGGATTTACAAACATGTGGCATGAATATCTACTGCCCCGAGTGTAGAATTTACATGGGAAAGGGGCTTAAATGCAAATGACTTTCAATATTATGTTAATCGTCTGACTCATTTGACCACACGGCCCATGATAAGCGCTGTTTGTTTTTAGGATTCCACCCACAGTGAATTAACTTATGCAAATATGCAAGTATGAAACAAGCTGGATTATTTCTCACCTTTATGCAGATGTATGTTTAAGTGTAATGGAGTTCAAAAATGCCACAAATCCCTGAGTAACTACCTCAAAACTGTACCCAATTAGCAACAACGTGACGCAATGTTGTGTAAGTACATTCGAGAGGCTTTCCGACCCACTCCTTTTCCGTCCTATCACCATCATTCTTTCCCCAAACTCACTCGGGGCCTGCATACATAACAAGGGGTGTAATGGAGTGCAACATCATCTGTTTTTCTATTATTTATATTTCTGGCAAGCTGAGGATAATGAGGAGCCTCTGGAACGACGCACTCTTTGAATTACTCCCACGCCCAAAAAATCTTGGATGCCCATCTTGGATGCTACATAAAATAAAATTAAGGCTGCACGGTATCTCTGGATGAAAGCTAAACTAAAGAAATATCCACTGATAGCTTGAGGGGAAGAAGTAAAGTTCCTTTAATTGAAAAAAAATGGATACAACATTGTAATTCAAGGTCATGGAGGCTAAAAGAAATAATTTGTCTTTACTAATTAGGTAAACAGTAAAAAGACAATTCAGCATGTGGGTGTTGAGCGGCTCAATAAGTCAAATCTCTCTGATCCCTTTCCGCTTTGATTTTGCCCCATCAGCAGGGTCTCTGTGTGTTGTGGACAAGCACGTGCTGACTGGGCTTGATCTGCAGCAGACCTCGTCACACGTTGCACTTTCATCCAAAGGCAAACGTCACAGCATCTATTTTTTGTGGCACAGTGTCTCCTTTCAATTCGTTTAATCCCCCCCCCAAAAAAACAACAACAGCTTAACTGTAAAAACAAATGAAGGACAAAATTGAACTGTCATGTTCTTAAAGCCGCGGCTTAAAACTATAACAATACGGATTTATTGCGGAGTAGATATCGGTGGCGTGTAGGACGTGCAGTGTGTCGGGGCTCAACAGATTCTGCTTTGAAGACCATTAAAAACTTGCGATTAACTCGGTTGCTGCGAGCGTGACCCAGTTTACGCCGCGCGACGGCACCTCACACGGCCTCCTTATTTCCTCCCACCTCACTCCTCTGCGTCTTTTATTAATACCTAATTCTGAAGTTCCAAAAAAAAACACCGCACCATGCCGTCCCCGGCCTCGTCGGTTTTTACCCCCGACAGAGTCACTCACCGAAGATCGTCCCGGGGCCTCATCTGCTCCATGGTTCATTTAGAATGCTGTGCAGAGGGGCCCGCACTTTGCGAGAGAACCAGAGGGGTGAGAGACGTCTCTTCTCTGCCTCGGTGTCTCACTTTCTCTCTTTTTTTATGGGTCTGGGAATTGCGCCGGGACTTTTGTGATGGACCGATGGACGCGCGCACACACACACACTGTCACGCACGCGAGGTGTCAATGTAATTAGACCGCAGAGAGACAGCCCGCTCAGCCGAGGATGACCGGCTTCAAAGCTTAGTGGGCGAGGGCCAATCCATCTGACATAACTGGGTTGAGAAACACGGTCCTTCCGCGCTCTGCAGCGTGAAGCCTCAGACACGCTGAGACCACACAGGGTCCGACCTTCTCAAGGAACGCTCACAATTTGCTAATCTGTATTTGCCCCCCCGTTGCGTTCCTCAAATTGCGGCCCTGGTTGTTTTGAGGTGGCTCACGGGCTGAATCGCATGTGTCTCCCCAGAGCCGCCCGGCAGAGAGGATACGGGGGACGGGAAAGGTGCGGCTCCTTCGGCAGACGGGGATGGGGACGTTTCCACGACGTCCAGCGAGGTGCTGACTCCGTCGTCGCCACAGAGCACAGGTGAGCAAACAAATCCCTGGAGATCTAGATGAACACTTCTTGCCAATTGTGTGTATTTTCTGCTTGTGGTTGCTCTGCACACTGCTAAACTGGACTAAGAGACGGGAGAACCAATTGCCCTGCATCCTTTGCAGGGGAGAATATAATATATTTAAAGACATATGGAGCAGATAATGAAATCATTCCCCCTCTGCAGCCTCCAAAACCTGTTCGTATTCTAACATTACCTTGCTTGGAATAACAGCACTTTTAAAAAAAACGATGAGTCACACATTTCACCCCAACGGGCCTCTTTCAATATTGCTGTGTCATTTTCAGGCCTAAAGCAAAAAGCTGTTGTTGATAATTCCGCCTGCACATGAACGCATTTACTGCTATCATAAAAGACCATTTGTTTTAATGGAGTGTTTTGGGTGCATGAGCATGATCCAACTTCTCCATGAGCTCCCGCTCAATTGCTTTTTTTGAGACGAGCCAAATTGAAAGTGATAACAATCAGACGGAGCTCTCTGTTTTCTCGATGCGGAATCACACCGCAGCCAATTAAAGATGAGTGCGTGGGGCTGTTGCTCATTTAACATGCAAAGAATCATTCAGCGTTATTACCATGGCGGGTCTGCAGATTAAGCTGCATTATAAGGGAAACCTCTAAAGATTTACAAGCAATAGCCAAAGAAATGAAGACATGGTGCACTAATGGTGGTTACACCGAGAGATAAACGAAACCACTCCTTCGAATTATGTGGATTTGCGGATTGCATGAAAATGTGACCATTTATCTTTTAGATTCTGTGCTGTCGGCCTGTATTAATTATTAAGAGCGTCAACTTAAAAAGCTCTTGATTTAAACTGAATCTTACATCCAGCATTCACAGTCATCATCACGACATTGTAATGCTCCACAAATGAACGCGGCGAACATCATACCTTGTTTACCAGACGTGTTTTTTTTGTCCACTGGCACGTCGCTCTCAGGCTGCAGTCCTCACGCACAGCCGACCCGACGCTGCGCAGGCCGCTCGGCGTGACACTTATCGACAAAACATGGCAGCGACTCAATACCCATCACGGCCGACGCGCCTCCGAATCAGCAGCGCCGTCGCCCCCGGAAAGTTAAACTGAATGGACGGACGAGTCGCCAACGCTGACTTTATCAGTAGCTCTGTGTTTATTCTACACTCCCGCCCCGCCACTGTCTGTTTTGACAGGATGACCTGGTCGGTGCAGTGAGACGGCGGAGGCCTGTTAGAGCACTGACATATTTCATGACCTCATTTAATGCTGCTGATGTTATAGCTTTTCAACAAATAACCCCCCCCGGGCACTTGTGATTTTAAATTAACCCGTGTTTATGATTTCAGCCCTTCCTTCCTGTCATATTAAATGTCAATATGGAACAGTGTGTTCAGTCGCTGAACAGACTCAATGGCCGAAACGCACGCGAGTTCCCGGCAGAGCGTGTGAATGCGTGGACCATCTGAACGTACCGCCTGATGTTCACCAATGTCTTCTTTTTCAACCTGCCAGACGTATCGGCTCCCAGCAACATAGTGCAGTGTGGCGTGGAAGGATTATCACGAGAGGGATGCACAAGGCTATTGTGGAAATCCCCTTCAGGATCCGAGGCAGGGGGGGGGGGCTTCGTTGATCAGGGGGGCTTGAAAACAGCAAGTGTCAACATGCAAATGAACTCGGACACGAGACACACTTAGCCGCCAATTGAGTGCCGTTTCGTTCTTCACTGAAGAGCTGCAGACTGTCACATGTTAAACATAATTGAAGCCACAGCTGCCATGCATTGGATCTATTCTATTGGAGGGGGGGCGGGGGGGCAGAAGTATGAAGCATAAAGCATGGGGAAGAGGCTTGTAAAAATCAGGGCAGTCTAGCAGAACAGAGAAATGTCCCCACCCATGTAAGTGTCCCCTTTTGGGGGACCAGGAAGAATACAACCCGTTAAAAAAAACATAAAAGACAGATTATAAAGACTTAAAATGAAAATGCTAGACCACAAAAATAGGCCGCTTTTTTTTATACAGGAAACTATTTAGATCTCTTCCATCTATACGCAATGATGAAGAGCTTCTGCGGTGCTTTGCAGTTCTTTAACTGGCCCGTGACGTCACCACCAGCTTTAATGTATCCACCAGGACTTCCCTCCGCATATTTAAAGACATTTTTAGACAAGAGATAAAAAGAAAATTTGGGCTGTATACACAAACAATATTCACACTGCAATAATAGTTTTTGTTAAAGGGCGATGGCTTTAGGTGCCTTCAGTAGTCGAAAGTTCTAAACACCTTCTCCTCTGTGGTGGAAAGCTATCGTCTGCATGTTTTGTGAAATAGAACAAGGTTTATGGTGTGAAGCAAGAAGGCTTCACGTGAGGCGCAGATGAGCTTTGTAGCTGTTGATCACGCGAACACACATGGTTTCCCCCTTTCATTTACAAAGCTAAACCATTTCCTACGCAATCATAATCATCTTTACTTGCATGGAAACTCCAGATGGCTTACGTAATGCAAGAGAAGCCAGCTCTGTGGTTCTGAATGGGCTGTTCCATAGAACACACACCCTCTGATTTGGGTCCAGCGTTGTATGAAGTTGCCTTGTTACAAGCTTCTGAACAGGATTAGCACATTAGGCAGAAAGCACCCTTTCACCCTCCTGGAGCTTGAGTTATGATTAAAAGCGTCTGTATGTTCTCATGAGTGGACAATTACCATGCTTTTAAGGGAATTAAAAGTAGGTGATTAGAGCAGTAGCTCATTTTCTTGGTCTCATCTGAGCTATTAAATGCAAATGTGTTTAACCAGCTTTCCTCCTTTCTTTCCCCCAGAAACTCCCTATATCCCTCCGTACACTGATGACTGGATGTACAACCAAGTGGACAGTGACGCCACCTTGCTTCCAGACTGCAATAAAGAGCGCTCCGGCATCTGCAACCTCTCCGACACCTGGGACTTAAAACCCCCCTCGGACGTCAAGCCCGCGCAGAACGCCACTTCCGCGAACCGATCAGCCAGCGGTGACAGCTGCATGGCTGCCCCCATGTTGGTGCCGCTGTACACCGACTGGAACAGCGCCATGGCGGCGTGGGGCGTGGCCTGGGAGGCGCACGTCTACGGCGCCGGGTGCGTCTTTGCGATGCTGACGCTGGCCTCGGCTCTCAATCTGCTCTGCTTGCCCCTGCGATGCCCGTCCGGCTGTGGCTACTTCGCCCTGGTCAGTCTGTTTCTGCTGGCCGGCGGCGGCACCAGATCGTTCTCCCTCCTGTACGATGCCTACGGTCACGGGGACCGCTTACCCTCGACAGAGGCCTCGCTGATACTCTACGAGGCGCCGTTTCCCTGTTTGACTGCGGCGTTCGGCCTGGTTTTCCTTCTACTCTCCATGCGCTCAAGGATGCAGCTCTCCTACTCGGCCTTCCAGAGACCCTGTTTCCTGGCCTGCCTCGTCGTCGTGCACTTTGGTGCCGCGTTTGGACCGGTGACGTTACTGAAGTTCTACCAGCAGAAGCCTCCCCTTTGCCTCTTTCTCTCGCTCATCTCCCGTGGGACCTTCGTCGCCCTGGCCACATTTCTATCCGCGGCCTATTTTGTGTTCTACATCTACGTGCGGGCGGATTCGAAACACATCTACCACCTGAACAACACGTCTCCAACGCCCGCCGAACGTTACAACCGCTGCCCCTTCGCTGAAAGCCGGGACTGGGACCGCGCAGCTGTCACCGTTTGTGTTTCAGCACTGTTTTGTCTAGCGTGCGCAGGACTGCAGTTCTACGCAATGCTCAACGCTATGGGTGTGGCAGGTGGAGAGGAGGTATTCCACGCTTGGCCCTGGTGGGCTTTCCAGTTTAGCTGCAGACTATGTGAGCTCGGGGTTTGTCTCACCTTAGCCTTGGTGGTGGCGCAACCCGTCTACTGTTCTGACCACCTCCCAGCCGCGGGGAGCTGTTGGACCGAACTGTTGGCGTCCAAGTCACCCATCCTGCCTGGGAGCTACCAGTGGAGCCTTAGCCAGCAAGAGAAGCTTGCAATCGTCGATACTGTTGGGCTCGGAGAGATAGAGAGCCTCCCTCTTTACACCCTGGTGGATGAGAGGCTTGGTAGCAGTCTAAACGGCCTTGACCTCCTCTACCACAGCAACCGGGCCTTGGCATACAAAGACCTGGACTTGGATTTAGACATGAAGGGTCCAAGGAAACCCGAGGATGTAGGACGCGGAGAACCCTCGGGTGGATCCTCGTTCACCAGCGACTCGACCGCAGACCTGAGGCCACCTTCGCCCATCAACCTGCGCCGCAGCATAGACGAAGCACTTTTCAGCGAGGCCCTGTTCCCCACGAGCCTCTTCAGCCCTGCCAGGCCTATTCACTGCAGTGATCTATCCATAAACAACCACTGTGCGCCACAATGCAACGGCCTCAGTGATCCCCTCTCGGCTGACCCTGGCCTTTACCGAACCTCATCCTGTGTGGAGGTGGCCCCCCAACCCGAGCCCTCTCGCGCCCAATCCCACGGAGATACAACTAAAGGTGCTCCACCGTCTCCCTCCCTGTCCTCATCCTCCAGCTGCTCATCTCCTGAGCGTTGGAGGGGCAGCTCTTCCTCCTGTTCCCTCTACCGGGAATCTTTCGGAGGCTCCTCACTGGTCCTCTGTCCAAGCCCGGAGAGACGTGCTCGGCAGCTTCTCCAGCAAGAGGCCGCGGGCCACGCGGCGTCCACCGGGCACCGCGGCCACGGCGACCCACAGAGGAACTATCATACACTGGGTGCGGCCTCACAAGAGAGCCTGGACCTGGACATGTCGTCGTCGGAGGCGGACCGCTCCGCGCAGGAGGAGTTCATCGGCGTTTGCAGACAAATCGATGCTTTGAGTATCTGCAGTGAGACTATAGATTTATAAAAGGACAAGTTTGGTCAAACAAGGATAACATAGGGGACTTAGAAAGATGTTGGAAAGGTGACTGTCGAGGTATTCTACAGCCCATTTGATAGTGCTTTTACCGTAAAACTTATAGCTGCCAAAATAACGTTCCTGAAGGTTTGATAAGCTTTCGTACGTGGTAATTAGTGAACGTCTACGTGGGTCTAAGTGCCAAGAATGTCAAAAGCCAAGAGGTAATTTGTAACTTTTACATGCTTGGTTAAGGCCGATGAAGTTTGATACTGTATTAAAAAAAAAAAAAGTGGCATTTCACTGAGTGGAGATGACAAGAATTTATTTGTACAAAATGTTTTTATTGCATTTCAACATTCCAAATACTACTACTGTGACAAAGATTAAGCACTTAAATACTACTGAAGTCTTACGTTTTCATATTCGGCAAAGTTGTCATTAAATCTCATGTTATATATACTGGATTGCGCCCGTTTGTCAAACTATAAACCATATCATGACACTTCTGATTTGCAGTTCTGGTGCAGCAGTGACCTCTACTGGAGAACAATTGTTACTTTATCCTACTATTACCGATGGCCTCTGCTTCTATGTACAACGGCAGCATATTCTGGCTTGCTTACTAATTTATTTATGTTCAAACATAACTGCTAAACACATTGTTTAATAAAGTGTATTTTATAAAGAACTGGCTTTTTTTTTTTACTTAAAAGTTAAAGGTGACATCCAACATGACTTTGTGGCTCATATTCAATAAGACATAAGTCATTCATGTTTGATTTATTTATTCTTTAAACATGTGCTTATTCTTCTCAAGTGATATTCCTCAAAAAATGCCAAATGATTTTAACGAATACAGAGTCTTTTCTGTCCATTTAAAAAGCCCTTGCTTATTAATTTAGGTATTGGTTGCAGAAGCTACTGCGATGTCCTGGCAACTGTAGCAGCTTTACAATATCCTGAAGCTGAAATCATAAAGGAGCAGCTCAAAAAACTAAAGTGTAAACCCAATATCTCACCAATCACTATATTGGTGCTTTTTAGATGGACTAATAGAACACAGTACTTGACAATTGACATTTTAAATAAAAACCTGACTTATCTCTTTCGGTGGGAAACTGAAAACAAGCAGCAGTTATTTCCAACTGATATAAGTATATATTTCTCCATATATTTTCATGTACATTTATTTTGCAATTTTTTGAAATTGCAAGGCCTTCTTTTTTTAAACACTCTGCAGGGTAAAGAAATGAGCACTTTAGAGGAATTCAACCCTTACAATCTGGTAACCATCGTTTAAAAGGAAAAAAAAAAAAAAATCTATCCAGTATGTATAACAATAATAATAATAATAATAATAATAATAATAATAGAAAAGCCTAATCCTACATAAACTGAACGACAAACACAAGCGAGGCGTTTTAAAGTAAGAAAAAGAGGCGAGAGGGTGTGTGTGTGGCATTATGCTTTTTCAATGATGCCGTCATGCAGCCTTCTTCCATTCCCGTTTCAAGGCATCTCTCTGGTAAAAAGAAACAACTATAAAATGAACATAAAACCATCACGGAGAACGTAAACCTTTGCCACACTAGAGAATGCAGGAACGAAGCGACAAGGTAACAAGTGACTTTTTCCCACCAAAGAAAAGTGTCAGAGGAAACGGAAGAACACTTGGCAGTATATATGCAATTACAATAACGCAGAATATAAATACAGCCATGTTTGGCTTAGTGAAAAAACTAACAGGCGTATCAAAACGCTTCATGCGCAATTCAAAGCCCCCCCCCTCCCGTCCTGCCAAAAGCCTACACAGGTTTTAATATAAAGTTATTTTTTATCTAAAAGTATTCAAATTACAAGTGAAGAAATAGTCCTCATTTCAAACTATTATTGATTTAATACCGTTTAGGTTTTATTTCTTTTCTTCCGACAGATCCTCAGATCTTGGTTCCTTCCATGCTCAACGTGTGAACACTACGCACAGACACCGATGATTCGTCGGGACGCCTTTGAAGAGAAAACGAATGACCTCTAAAAGCTGAAGACTGTGGGTCGTGTCTACTGGCGGGTGCAAAGTCGAGAGGATAAGAGTTACGGCCAACATCTCGTACCTCGGGATCCATAAGATGGGAAAGTAAACAATATGTGCTGAAACAAACAGCTACGTTCACAAGCAGCTTTTACCTCAACTACCTACAATGAAAAAAACAACAACAAATACAATGGTAGATGTCATGAAACACCGATACACATTTTCAGAGAGGACCCGTGCGCCGCTTTTTTTAACCGTTCGGGGTTTATAAAAACTGATATTTGGGGGTTCTACGGGGGGGGGGGGGGGGGGGGGGGGGTAACTGTGTATCCAGGTCAGATGCTGATGTGATCTGCACCCTGGCTGTTTCACACCCTCTAACATCAACAAGTAAACACAGTGCACCTTCACTTTAGTTGACAAACATCAATCACTCAGTCACACGTTACCCTTGATTCAACACACACACACACACACGAAAAAAAAAAGAAGAAAAAGAAAGACTCCCAGGTGTTCAGAGAGTTGGTTCGAGGATTCTCGCTTCGCCGCCGTGTCTCGTTGCTCCAAAGGGCGGCCGGCTGTGAACGGTGGATACGACGGAGGAGCGGGCAGAGAGGGTGTAGCGGGTGTAGCGGGTGGTGCGTGTTGAGCAGAAGTGCCGATATTAACATTTGGTCACTGTTGGACGTGCGTCGATGAGCTGCACGCCATCCCCCCTCCACCGCCAGCTCAGTAAAGCCGCTTCTCGTAACTGGAGGCAGAGAGAGAAAAAAAAAAAGATTTAAAAAAAATCAACCGCTGCACAAATGCAAATTAAAAGTATTGCAGCAAATAGTACATTGTGTGTGATTGACTTTAATTTGGTAACGTGCATGCACTGATTACATGTTTGCTGAATGCATACAGGAGACATCTGATGAATTGCATTTGCACAAAAATCGCACAAATGTAAAGCCTGGGGTCCCATAGTGGTAATGGAGCAAGAGGAACATTCGTTCCTTTTTTCTCTCAGAGCAGGTTTATTTTCCATGGAAAGTGTTTGCAAATGCAGCAAAAAATTGTTCTACTGGCGAGCAAATCCTCTACGGCTCCCAAAAGGACCGGTTTGCTGTTTGTTTTTACAGCGAGTCCAGACATTTTGTCTCGACCACAAGAGTCGGTCCAACTTCCTTTTCAGAAGGTTGGTGTTGGTTGTCGTTTCTTTGTGCAAGTAAAAACTAATATAAAAATGCACGCTAATAGTTTTTCTCTTTTCTTTCTTTGTACTCACGAGTGGAGTCCATGAACGCCTCCTTCCACTTGTGCCGACATGGTTCTCTTTTCAAACTTCAGCTCTCCGGAGTACATCATGGAACTGTAGAAGATGGGAGAGCTGGTGTAAAACACGGTGCACAACAAAGTTTGCATTGTATTCTCACACACACAGATTGCTCACCGGAGGACAGAAAGACTCTTGGCCCCGATGTCCTGGCAGCCATGCTGGATACCAGCTATCAGGTAAGGTACAAACTTGTGGATGGAGCCCTTGTCCTGGACCGAGCCCGACACCCCCTGGGCCACCTTCACATTGTCGCCCTCACTGTGGGAGGACGTCAATCAATACTCCATCACACTGTATAAAACAGCCGCTGCTGGAATGTGGCTTCTCACTTCCTTTAGCCTCCCACACACCTGAAGTAGCGTTTCTGGCTGCTGGTGCTCTTCTCCATGGCGTCCAGGGAGCCCATGCCCCGGTACTTCTTCAGCCGCACGCCGTCTGAGAAGAAGTACTCCCCCGGAGCCTCGGTTGTTGCCGCTAGCAACGAGCCCATCATCACTGGAGTGGGAGACGGGAGAGAATCATCTGTAGTCTCTCATTACCCATAAAGGACAATAAGCTTACGAGACAAGGCCTTGTTTTTCTCTTCACATAAATCTTTAAAATCTCACCAGTTGATGCTCCGAGAGACAGCGCCTTCACCACATGGCCTACAGTCTGAATGCCGCCGTCGGCGATGACGGGTACGCCGAAGCGCCTGGCGTACTCGGCTACCTTGTACACCGAGGTCCCCTGGGGCCTCCCACACGCCATGACTAGAAGAGTAAAACAAAAATAAACATTTCTGACACAGAATCTATGTAAGTGGGGACCAACAGTTGTTTTAGGTTCGCGTCCTCTTGCTGAAACACATTTCCTCCGTTCTTGATTTGATTGTGACTCCGTCGGAGCACGAGAGGCCTGTCGCTATGGTTACAGCGAGCAAGGCCATGGCAGATTGCCATGACAACGCGAGGGTCTCTGTCTATTTTCTCTTTCCACGGGCTCACAGCTAGATTCAGAACCGGTGCAGCTGGTACTGATGAGCGACGGCCTCGCGCCACTTCAAATTCCTCTTGCGATAACTTGGCGCCGTACATTAAACCGCTTATCTCCAATTAAATTGAGACCGCTTTAACTCCCACATACGCCGACAACGGAAAAGCAGAAACGCGTGTTGTCAGGAGACCAAATAAGTGCGAGTACCTTCCTGCGTGATGCAGATGGAGCCGCAGCCCATGCCGACTCGCAGGGCATCCACACCAGCATCGATCAGATTCTTGGCCTGAGCTGCTGTGACCACTGAACAAAACAAGTGGCACAAAACATTTAGGTCACGTTGGCATTACGAGAGGGCGTGCAAAACAAAATCAAAGCCACGGGTCAAAAGCAGAAGTCAATGCTTTATGAACAAACTCACCGTTTCCTCCCACCACCTGCAGTTCTTGATGCTTCTGCTTAATATAATTGATCATGTTTATTTGATACACCGAGTTGCCTTGTGAAGAGTCCTGGGGACGTGGAGGAAACAAGACCTTTAGCGAGTACGTTGACGTGGACCGCCTTAACTGAGGCGACGACCGACTACCAAGAATCACCCACCAGGACGACCACGTCCACTCCGGCCTGCACCAACAGGTCCAGTCTGTACTTGTCGTCCTCTCTGGTGCCGATGGCGGCGCCACACAGCAGCTGTTTGCGGGAGTCTTTGGAGGCCAGCGGGTAATCCCGGTTCTTCTTCAGATCCGTCCGGGCGATGATGGACACCAGCTCGTCGTTGTTATTTACAATGGGAAGCTTGCCTGGGTTGCGGAGAAGGTCAAAGTCGAGGGTTACTCCCGTTGCGGGACACCGACCGAAATGCACGCACACACACGAAACTGCCATTCACCTTTTTTACTGCGCTGCAGAATGTCATTGGCTTCTTTTAGAGTGACACCGGCCGGAGCCACGACCAGCTCGTCCCTCTTCGTCATGGCCTTGGTGATGGGGAGCGAGAAGCAAGCAAATGAGCGACTCCGACACCATTACATTTGTTAACTAGCGGACGGTGCAGCTCCTAGGTACAACGTGAAAATACACACCTCCTCCAGAGGTTTGCCGCGGTCCTTCTCAGACAGGAAGTCAATGTCTCGGGAGGTGACGATGCCCACCAGCTTGCTGCCCATTTTGCCCGTCTCCGTGACGGGAATGCCAGAGAAGCCATGTCTCACTTTGGCCTCAAAGACGTCGCCGACTGTGTGGCGCGGACTCATCACGACGGGGTCCGTGATGAAGCCCTGCTCGAACCGCTGGAGGAGAGGAGAAAGCAAACGACATCGTTCAGAGGGTTATGGACCCCCCCGCCCTCCCCCTCTTTGTATGTCCAAAGCATCAAAAAACAGACACGTAGCAATAGGCAAGTGTTAATAGGCACAAGCAGAAACACACACACAAGACTATTACCATAAACCTATGGAGACAGTACAAAAAAAACCCCAATAGGTCAAGAAATGATTCATGCGAGAGTCAACGAGCAATAACAGTGGAATCAAACACGGCTGGTGAGCATTTGACGTGACTACACAATGAGATATTGTGACAGTTTTAAGGGGAAGCTAATTTAGCATTATTTACCTTGACCTTGCGGACCTCATTGGCTTGGAATTCTGGTGTGCAGTTGTGGTGAATGATGCCGATGCCTCCCATAAGCTACCAGGGGGGGGGGGGGATAAAAAAAATAAAAGGAGGACATTTCAGATTTGGATAAGGCGATAAATTAAAATCCGCCGCAGTTACTTGGAAGCAGTTTTGGCACACAGTGTCTTACCGCCATGGCAATAGCCATAGAGGACTCTGTGACCGTGTCCATCGGGGAGGAGATCAGAGGGGTCTTCAATGTGATCTTCCTCGTCAGCGCTGACGTCAGGTCCTAAGAGACACAAAGAGGGTTAAACGTTGTTTGGGCTGCAGGTTTGCACAGGAACCACCAGGGGGCAGACTGCACTTCACAGATTCAAAACACAGCAGCAGCTCTAAACACGGTTCAGTGAATCCGTTACTTGAGGTCACTTTAATTTCAATAAATGTTTTATGCGAGAGCTCCTTAAACATTTTAGTATGAAGTGCAAAGAACTGCATGCACCAGCATATAGCGTCCTTCCTCTCATGAACGGGAACGGCCAACAGCTCTCTCTCTCCCTCCCTCTCTCCCCCCAACTTAAACATTCCCACCATCACCTGCTGTTGTTGTCTCCATGTGTGTGGGAAAACAGACATTCTTTGCACATGGGAAACCGGCAAATGAGCGCTGTGGTGTCCAAGCTTTCCCTCCTTATCTGTGCCAGACGTAAACTACGGCGGCTTTTCTCAAGGGGGGGTGTGGGGTGAGTTCACGGCCAAGTCATGACAAACCACCACGTCTGCGCTCAGAGAGCACAGCTGCAGCAACCTGCTGAACCCAACCGAGAGTCGGGACGGTGGGTCAAGCAGCGCCGCAGACCGGACCACTTTCCCACTGCGACTCCACTCACACGCGTCACATGCACGAAAGCGCCCATCGCCGATCCCCCCTCCCCCCCCCGCCGCCACGTGAACAGCGCAGGCTGGATTAGAGATACATTAAATTAAAATCTGCTGAGATGGACAAAGCAGAAGAGTGGGGATTTCTGGAGAGATTAACTCTCCAGTCGTCGGTGGAGTGATGTAGAAGAGCGAGCGGGACAACGTGCAGCAGACGGCCTGAAGTAGACGACAACAAGCCGGCCATTGTACCACGCGGGGGGTCTGGGGGCGGAGCGGTTTGTTTAAGGAAGGTCTTTCCTCAGATTTGACCTTTTGAAACAAACCACGACCTTTAAGGTCCTTCGCACGTAGGTGTACTCACCACTTCGTCGGAGGTGAAGTCGATGAAGCCCGGTAGTATCAGGAAGTCACTGCAACACGAGGCAGACAAAAAAAAAGGGTAAAGTAAGGGCCCGGTGCCTCGGTTCACAGCTGGTTTAAAGCATCCTTCACAACACCAAGAGCCAAAAGAGCTTCCTGTTTAAAAACAGCACGTTTGTGGTGGATTCCGCTGCATCGCCAGAGAATTTAACACGTGTTCTAATCCCTTTCGCTGTCGGTAGCTCACTGGGTGAATTGGAAAGCAAATGAGACTATTGGAACAAGGCTGGGGTTTAAAAAAAAGAAAACCGCGCACGTAAGAGACAAACCAACGGGTAATTCAATATTGACATTGGATTTGTTTGGAATGGCCCGATCTGCCACCCGTTGTCTTTTACGTCTCAGGACCGCTGAGAGCGGACACAGCGCTGACGCCGGTCACGCCGGGTCCATTACTTATAAAATAAAGCTACAGTTGATTCCATTGAGCTCTTTGACTGAGAACACTGAGCAGGTAGAAGGAGAAGAGTGGGTGGGGGCAGAACCAAGGTGTGAAAACTGTAGGGGGACAGACAGAGGAACAAGGAGGGAGGGAGGGGGGGGGGGGGGTGTTGGATGCCACGTGGACGCCACGTGAAGGACGTTTCAGGGATGGGGGAGGGTTGTGAAACAGGAAGCTGGTGGGCGGTGCAAGTGGACTTAACGCGAGTCTAAAACAAACTATGTATGAAAAGTCGAGTCTGTTATTGTGGTGTGTGTGTGTAAGCAGGAAGGTCTGTAATGAGACGCACAAAAGTCCCGTCTCTTTTTTGGGGAGTTTTCCTCCCACTTTAGAGCCCATTAACCGTCGGCGTGGCGACGAGAAGTCAACTGTCCAGCACACATCTGCCAGCATTTAGCGGAAGCCACAAAGCTCGGCTGCGCCTCCTCATTTGGGCCGAGCGCCGCGCCGCAGCTCATTGTGTTGGATTTGAATGCGGAAAAGACAACAATGGCCCGGTGGTGACTTATTGCGGTTGTTGTTTGAATGGTGAATTAGGGAAATTATTTCTTTTTACAGCACAGCCAGAGGCCATGGCGGAGCTTCCACAGACGGTGCGGAAGCAGCTGCTGGCCCGGGCGTGTCTAAAAGGAAAAAGAAAACCAGTGCACCCAAAATCAGCTGATGAGCTGTATTCCTGTAATTAATCTCAATGAGTAACATCTCCATGTCTGACTCACAACCTGAGCCGCAGACGAAAGAACAACTACTGTTAGCAGAACAGACGTACTTGTAACAGCTCTGCAACAAGTTGAACCACAATTTGTGCTGTGCCCAAACCACCACATCCGGCTGTTCACTGGGGCCCCCGGTTTGTCCAAGTAACTTTCCCATAAGACTTTAAAGGACGAGACAGACGGAGCAGATCGCCGGGACGATGCAGCGAGTGTTGGTGGACAGTACGTACTGGTGTCAAAATGCTTCCTGCGTCTCAAGTCTTACTTTTTATTTCCTCTGTAATCAAAAAAGAACTGCAGTCTTAAGACTCCGCTGCTCAACTAATGGAGCACGTGTCAGGATTTACATCGAAGATTCACAGGAGCGCGGTCGGCCATTTTCAAAGCAGCAGGGGACGAATCGGCGCCCCCCCCCCCCCTATTCCTGCTGCCGCGTGATGTCAATCCAGGGCGTCCCGCGCGCAACCCTCCCTCCGGGCCGTGACGCCCTTCGTTAGCGCGGAGAGGACGTTCGATCGCACGCGGACGCCGTCTTTCTATCCAATTAGCTTCTGCGAGGCGGGGGCGCAGTCGTAGGCGGCTGCACTTGGGTTGTGCAGACTAATTACCCGCCGGCTGTAGATCCCATAGAATGGTGCACTGGCCAACGGGTCTTTGGGGGAAGGCTGAGCGGGCGTCTTAATCATTGATTGTGGTGGTTAGTGCCTGTTCATGTAGGTAAAGCACAGTGATGGATTCAGCGGAAAGTTCAACCGGCCACAACTGAGCTGCACAAAACCTTTGCTCCATGTTAGTGAGTATTAAGGAAACGGAACGGGTGAGTTAAAAAGGATCAGACAAAAAGCATGATTTCAAATACAAAGCAGGTATTGTTTAGCACCAGAATGTGTCCCAGAGCTGAGAGAGGTTACAGAAAGACGTCAGGAAATTAGTGCCAAAGTGAGAAAAAAAAAAAAGGGTTGTTGTTCTTTCAAAGAAAGGGCATGAGCTGTTCTGACATGCATGACGCAGTCACAGGACAGATCACGCCTTCTATTAGTGGAAGTAAATCATGCAGGTGTTTACACTGGAAGCAAATTACATCCCCATGACCTAGATCATACTGAGCATTCCGACTACAGCCTTCCTGCTCAATCCTCGGCATTCATGCACTATCACGAAAAACCAGACTGAGATTTAGACATGGTGTGTTTCGCTCAAAGTAAAGCGGCTTTCATTTGCTTCCCCTTTACGGATTATCTTATTTGGAGAGACAAAGGGATTGTTTTAACAGCACAGTTTCAAAACAGTTTGAAGATGACTGTTTTACTCACTTGTAAGTCAACCCATCTCCTTTAGAGCATAGCTCTTCAGCCGTATGACCATCGGAGACAACGCACTGTTGGTCAGATCTGCTGGTTCAAAATGTGTTGGCCATTACAAAGCAGTGCTGCGTACACGTCACCGAAAATTGCGCGCGGGCGAGTCTTTTTAAAGTAAGGAGACCTTACTTTGAAATGAATTACTTTACTGAGATTTTTGGGGATAAAAAAAAGAAGAAGAAAAGTTGCAAAATCAAAGTCTGCAATGCAGGGAAACTTACTTGTACGTGAGGCCGTCTCCAACGGAGAAAAGCTGCTGAGCAGAGAGTCCGTCTTCAGGGACGTATCCCGTGCCGCCGCTGATCAGGTAGTCCGCCATGCTGCCAGACGATAAGGACAAGCAACTTTTAAATCAACTGTACAACACGGGACTCAGATAAACACTAAAAAGAAAATGTTTTTTAAAAAGATGGCAGACGGATGCTCTGCAAAGAACACAAGACATCCACTTTGCAGGTGCAACAGAGTTGGAGTCGCAACACATCTGTTACACAGGCAGAGCTTTCAGTGACCTTCTCACAGGAAAACATAACCATGGCAACATCAACATCCACGGTGCAGTGCGCATGCGCGACAGCTTCACCCGCTTTGCAAAAACAACGCAAATAACAACAACACGGTAATAAACATCGCAATGAATGTCACACACGCTTCTGACTGAGGCAGTGCTCACGTTCATTATTATTACGACCATTAACGTCCACGTTCATGATCAATACTATTAATAGATTTTTGTAAATGTAATACAGGATGCGCATGAGTCACGTGACGCCCAGCGCTCCGCACACATGAGCACGTGTGAGGACGAACATGGCCGGATGACCCACTGACATTTGAAACCCATCAATCGAAACGTTGTCCCCCCAAAAGGACACGACGTCCACTAAACGCGGCGTGTCCACTTGAACCGTGACGTCCACTGACCCACGTCGCATTAACAGCGGCTTTCTGCCCATAGTTAGTTAACTGCACTGGCGACACGTGTTTGTACAGCGAGGCGACAATGCGACGTCATCGCTTCTCATATTCTGCGTTACAATATCATCCATGCTGGTCCCCATTTTAGCCTCAAAAGCCCATAGCCGGTTTAACAGATGGTTGTGTTTTGTAGACAGACACAAAGCATGCCGAATTGAAGAGCGGGTGTTTTTAATGTAATACAGGAGCCAAGATGTTAGTCTACCCATTAAAACGCAAATAAAAGAACAGAGGAGAAACTATTTCGGGAGAGTTTTGAACAGAGTATGGTGTTGCGTTCAGGGGCAGGTCGGCTTCTTGCAAGTATAACAATAATGCTTGATTCTATCACATTTGCATAAATACTAAAAAGGACTGTTTGAGTAATTAAACGTCAATGTATTCGGTTTAGTAAAGTTAGAATAGGTAGTTATGTCACGAGACACTACGTTAGATAACTCTGAACTGTGTGCGGAGCCGAACAACAGCTCAATGACACGTTACCTGTAACGGTAAGCGCGCCCTCGTGTAAATACTCGGCATGTGTCACAAGCACACGTTACCTTACGGAAGCCGAATCCGTGGCGTCACGTTAACATACACAAAAAGACGCAACGCGAGGTGAACTTTGCCACTTTAGCCGCAACCCGAACCTCACAGGTGCAGGTGTGCTGACAACGAAAGGAACTTTTGGCCGAGCAGAGTCCCGACGAGGCGACCCAGACATGCGCTAGCATCCCGTTAGCATTTAGCATCGACGTGTCTGTCATTTTTTTGGGCTTGACGTATGGAAATAAAAAAGAAAAGGAAAAGGCTGCCGGCACTTTAACGGCGGCTCGTACACGATTCGTCTTAGCCAAAGAACAATAGACGGAAAGGGGGCTCAGGGGACGCGGCTTTATTTAATACCACATCACAGTTCGCTAGCTAGCTCGTTTTTGGAGCGGATGCCCACGTTGTCCAAAGAGGAGGAGATGAAGGGGGGGGGGCAAAACTTTCCAGCTGTGGATCAAACACAAACCTGCCTCGAGGACGACAAATACCCGCGGGTACCTCCTGTCCACCGCGACGCGAGGCGGGTCGGGGGGAGGGGAGAAACGGCAAAAACAGCCTCCCAAACGGACGAGAAGAAGACAGACGCCGATCGGTGTCTCCCGGATGGAGGCGCGGTGGCTGCCTGCTCGCTGCGCGGCGCTGCTGCGAATGTATTCCGGGTGCAAGCGGCGCGTCACGTCTACCTCTTCCTCCTCCTCCTCCTCCTCTTCCTCTTCTTCTTCCTCCTCCTCACTGGAGCGCGTTCAACCCCTCTGCTCCACAAAGTTTCCTTCCATTGCATTAACAAAAAAAAAGCAATGCCCCCCCTTTACATTGAGACTGCACCGGTTCTGTAGATTGCGTTTGTCTCCCGGTACATCCGATTACAAATGAATGGACACAGTGTTTGACTTGTTATCACTAATTTGGAAAGCAGGATCACATGAAAAACCATCCTAACTGAATTAGTTGCACTAAATCGTTCACATGACGACAATGTGCAGAAAAAGCAGCTCTTTTTTACCCATATATATATATTTATTTATTTATTTACTACAGAAGTGGAAATAACTGTCTGATAGATGGTGGATCCCAAGTATTGAAGCTGAAGCATGAACATCCTTTTAAAGCTGATTGCAGAAACGTCTGTGAAATCTAATGAGTATAAAGAATAAAATAGCAAGAAACTGCCCTCCCCACCAGGCTCACGGGAGTTGCTACATTAATGCTAGACGGACAAAAATCACTGTTGCTTTCTGAAAAACTAAAATACAACTTGTTAGGGTTTTTTTATCACCTCTACTGCCGCTTTTCGCAGCGCAGAGGATCAGAGTAATGCGGATCGTGTGCGGTTCGAGGTTTGGTTGTCCCTCCTGCCATAAAGGCCACACTCAAATGTGTACTCAAAGCACCTAGAGCTGATTTACTTGAATTACTGGCTTTTAGGGAACATCACTACTGTTCTTGGCGCCCGGCATTTCCTGCATGGCCGATGTTCCGCGCAGTGCATCTCAGTCCCACTGGTCCTGCCTGTCACCTAAAGTGCCTCACAGTCCTCTCTTGTTCTATATTAATCTCAGGTGAAGGGCCGCTGCCGAGGTGACTCCGTTTCCCACTGTGTGTTGGAGTCAAATTAAATGTGGGTCATTTCAGATATGGGTCAGTGGTTCCTTTTTGCACTCTAGCTATTTCGAGCACTTGATTCAGCCTTGTTCATCCTCCCCGCGGCGGGCTGCCCACCCAACGCCTCGACGTTCCAAGCGCGATGGTCTGTGTGCACCGAGGGCACGACGGCACACGTTCAAAACAGCACCTGACGACTTGAGACGAGGCCGAACAAAAGTATTAACTATCCTTTGAACTGCTGAAAAACAAAGTGCCTCCCAAAGCCGGTGATTTTAACCTCAAGGCCATTTGCAAACTGATCTGAATGCAAGTGTGTGTGGACGTGTAAACTGACCCGACGGCATGAAGTTCATTTACATGTGCAGTCTTCCGAAAGCACAGCCAGTGAAAGTAAAGCACGAGGGCTGACACCACACTGTCATTTTATCTAGCATTGGATTCTGGCATTGAGGGTTGAAATAGTTGTGGTATTTTCCTTTTTCATTGTGACTCTTGTCCTTAAGTCTCTATCGCATCTTTTCCACAAGACTAAGGTTCTGGAGTGAAACAATTCTGAAATTCTTTGGACGTTTTCATGAATATTTCTGCAGACCTCTCCCTGCTACAAATTACAACAGGAAAATGTGCAACAACAAATAGCTACAAAACCCCTTTTCGGGAGTAAATAGATGTTTCTGGCCTACGGTTACTGTTTGAGTGCTTCCTGAATGTTCTTCTCCGCCTCTCACCTCTCTGGGCCCAGTCCGGCCTGGATGCGGGTGGCGCTGTATCGCTGTGCTGCAGTTTCATGTCCATGGCCGTGTGAGCTTTGACGGACATAACATTCGCCCTCCCTGGGTGACGCGCCGCCACGCGGGGGCCGAGTGTCTCCGACAATCCTCCGATAATCCACCTCCTGGCTCTCGACGGCTCCGTCTGCACCAGAGGGCTCGTAGCCGTACCCCTCCATCGCCCGTCCAAGGTCGGCGTCTGAATCCAGCGGCCTTTTGGCGGCCTGCTCGCTGTGGTACACAGATCAGTCGGTGAAAGTATCCCACGGTTGAAGGCAACACCAGCGTCCTCGAAACCTTGAAATCCCACAAACTTCGTGGCCAAAGGGCCACGGCTCAATCTACAATTTGCAAAAGAATCTGAAAGTTCTGCTCTGCTTCTAAATACTCTTATCTGAGATTCCACCGCCTGCTCTTTTTTCCCCTCTGCCTTCGACAGCAGACGCAAGCCTGCAGAGGTGTTCCCACAGCGAGAGAGAAAAAACAAAAAACAAAGACCCGCTTCGGGCTTCTGCTCCTGCACTGGATGCACCTGCCAGCCGAAAGGCACCCAGCCACCTCGAAGGCGTGTCAGAGGAGGGCGTCACCTAGGAGATGCTCCCACCGAGAGGGCGTCACCGTGGAAATGATACCAACAGTGCCGACACATGCCCGACGTCGGCGAGGAGAGTCTCTGTCAGGCGCGCAGGTGGTAACGGAAGGTGCTGTACATACTGTGCAGTACTTGTTCGTACAAAGCAGCATCGCCCCCCCCCCCCTGAGCGGCACCCCCCAAGTTGAATGGAGTGAGTGCCGCCGTCCCTGCTGAGTGCTTCACCAAGCTCTCTCTCTCTCTCTCTCTCTCCTGCTCCCTCTCCCGTGGACGGGTTAATCCCGCTTTCCGTCGGTGGCACCACGTCATTTTCACAAAGAGGATTGCAGAATTAAAACGAAGAGGACGAGAGCAAAGGAGCCCCCGCCGCACATGTTGTTCCTTTCCGTACGGCACAAATGGCCAGATCGTCACCCGCGGCGTCGGCCGTGGGCATTTTTGGCCCGTTAAGACCAAAAGCGCCCAGCGATCGTGGAAGCATTTGGCTCAGTAGAGTTGTTTTTTGTTTCTGTACAATATATTTAGCCTCTCCCACCGGGAACCCACAGGGATGTTCAGTGTTGTGTCCTTCGCTTGGCGCAGGCCTCACGGAGAAAAGGTGGCTTCTCCTGCAGCTGTGGGAAATGAGTGTGCATTACAAGTGTCTAGTGTAACCACATGACCTGCACGCTAAAACAAAATGCATCTGTACCTCGACGCTGCTGAGTTTCAGCTCGCGCCAAAGTGTCACCCACACATGGTCTGCAGCCATGTGATGTTTTCCTTTTCCACCAAAGCACCACCTTTCCTCAAGTGCCATTCGCTCTCGGTGGCATCAGGGTGTGAACACAGGCCTTTGTACGCGATGTACCGTCACACCGTCATACGTTTTGCCCCAAGGGAAAACAAAGAGCACTCCTTTTCTCCTCGTGTGTGAATGACCGGCCACTGGCGACATAACGCGTCAGATGATCTGAATCTGGGTTAAGGTTCATTTCCCTTCACACCGCTTTGAAATGGGCCCAGGCCTCTTTTTAAGCGACAGGAGACGGGGGGGGGTCGACTACGTCTGTCTTCTTCTCTATCATGTGATGTTTTACAAAGAAGAGTGTTCTGGCACTATTAAAGAAGTTTATCTAAAGCGAAAATAATGATTATAAATACCAAAAAAATGCCATGTGACGGACGCGAGTGAGGCGACGCACAGGGAATCAGCAGTTTAAGTGAAACTCAATTTCTCACTTCAGAAATAGATTCTGTGTCCGTGACGAGAGCTCAGTGAAGTCAGAGGAGTTGAAGCACAGCCGGAGTTACAAAAAGCCCCGCAGGGGGAAACCGTGCAGTTGGTGCAGCGCCACCTGCCAGCATACACACACCTTCACCCTCTGACTGAAAACACGCCAACTGTACGAGTCCTTCTACTCCAACCAGAGACCAACCAGTGCGTGGCGTGGTTTGATTCAGATCTGTACCCACTAAACATTGGACGTCAGATAGACGTGCAGATCATGTCTATATTGTGTCCGTCGGTCCATGACCAATTCTGGACATCTATTCGACGTCCATACTAGGTCCACTATTTGGACGTCCAACCATGACCCAACTTGGACAACATATTTACGTTCAAAATTTGACCTTCGAAGCGGGTAAGTTTTGTGGACGTCATCTGGACGTCAATGACAGGCTGTTTATTTACAAATATCAACATGTTTCATGATATGAATAGCCTTTATTATTCATAAACATGATTTAATATGTGCATGCCTGTTTATTTATTCAGTGGGTAATTTTCCTGTTTTAGTGAAAAAAAACCTACTGAACAATACTAATAATAATTTTTTTTAAATTTTATTAAATTAATAAATACATTTGAAGTAGCCAAGAGGGGGGGCGATGGCCACTGATCTCAAAATAACTACCAACAACAGAAAAGTCACACCCGAGGACGGGCTGGGTCGTCTTGGCGCAGGGGTTAGAGAAGGTGTGCAGGGAAGCACAAGGTTGGTGGTTTGAGTCCAGGCTGCCCCATGTTCCATGTCGAAGTGTCCGTGACACCTAACCCCTAATTGCTCCCCAGGCAAAAATGTGAAAAGGCCATGGGTTTACAGTGTAATGTAAGTCGCTCTGGATAAAAGCATCTGCTAAATGACCTGTAATGTAATGTAATTTAAAAACCAGTTAACGTCACTCTGATTGGCTGAAGCAACACCATGTAATGATGCCAGACATTTGGCACGATTCAGCGTGTTCGATTTCCTCTAAATTGAAGGTAAGTTCGATAAGCCTAGTGAATTCTATGTCCATGCCCTACATCGTAGCAAATGGCCAAGCATGCCTTAACGACACACATTTTTATTTCGCGTTAGCTAAACAAAAGGAAATTAACTGGTACAGAAAACATGTCCCCTACCTCTTAGTTATAGAAGTAGTATAAAACGTCTAAAATTAGTCTAAATTTGACGTTGAAAAGACGTCTAAAACGACCACATTTGTACTATAAATAGCCCTTATATGGAGGTCCCACGGACGTGAACATTAGACGTGCAGTAGACGTCAAAAAAAGACATCACCTGGCGTTACAAAACAACCCCTTCAGTGGACCAAAATTGGACGTCCAAAATGACCTAGAAAAGACGTCACACTGACGTCACATTGCACAGTGGGTACTTGCTGTCACTCCTCAAAGCTCACTTAAACAGGAATTTTGCATTCAACGCTATATTGGTCGTCTAGTTTATAATCACTCTTTTATCGCTTTACTTATCAGGTTTTTTTTTTTTTTTATCACTTTAGTGTTTAAAAACAAATGTCCTGCATGGACCGGTTACTCAAATGCAAGATCAACCTTTGATTGCTGTTCAGCAAATAATGAAGACATCTAGCGAGGCCGTGAAAAGTCTTTTCCACAGATGTCGACTTGTCAAAGCAGAAAAAGCAAACGTGGTGCAGAAGATATGGATGCAAATGTATGTAAAACAAATAGTTTTCACAGGACGAGTTGTGAAGAAGAAAATGCAACTGGTCTTGTTGTTGTGCTCCTCTGCTCATTGTCACACTGTCACGGCTTAATGTGAATATCGTCAGTAGCACATGTGCTTCTCAAACTGTGACAAGATCGCTATTAGGATTAAAACACCACTCACAGCACTGCAGTGAAACGCAGTCAGGCATGCTGACTGGGCCTGTTTAATAGTAAACACTGCCATGTAGTGGACGAGGCGTCTCATTGCGTCAAGGACTTTTTTAATGTGTATTTACATGAGTCTCTCTAAACTCTAAAAACTTGCGGGAAGAAATTCTGAATGTGTTTCCAGACAAAGGACAGCAAAGTGTGAAGGACCTGAAAGTGACAACTACATTGAATGTATTTAGTTGATTGTTTGTTCATTATTTCATATAAATCACCACTTTTTAATGCTCACCAATCAACAACCGGGAGGAGGAGGAGGATTCTGTATCAAAGGAGTAAAAGACTCCATTGTTTCACGTGTGCTTTTCTCTCTCTGTTTGCTGATCGTATGAAGCTTCTGGGGAAGTAATGGCGTAAGATGGATGTCAATGAAACACCATAGTTCCTTCTCGAAAATAAGCACTTTTGAGTGGAGGCGGTGAAATGAAAAACAGAAGGATTTCATCTGCGGCTGCGTCATCCGAACAATAAGATTTTACTGCCCGTCAACATCTGGCAGTGAAAACAGCAGAGAAGAGCCAGACTGTAAAAAGCTGCTTCCACAACTCATACATTCTTTTATCCGTGGGAAAAGTCACAAAACTGTGAATCTTAAACCGTTAAGTACCGATGGGTCCAATAGTCTCCTGTCAACTGTTTGGTGTTGATTTAAGAACCAGTCATGCTGGTATCCTCCCAGTGAACTGTGCAAATTGCTTTGCAGGTTGGAGTTTCCACAAAGACCAAAGGGGGGGGGATCAGATTCACTTTTCTACTAAAATGGGAATCTTCAAGTGAGAAAGTCTGGAATCTCCGCACCGGCTCGTGAGCATATTTGTGATATATTATTATAAATTCTGTTTTGATAAAAGACGACAGGTCTTCTGAGAAGCTTTAACAATGTGTTGGAACAGGTCTGAGTTCTGAGAATGATCACACTCTTGGGTCACTTGATCTGTTGCTCAACAAGGCTTTCCTTCCTACTCAAACCCAAAACGTAAAACATTAACCGTAGCTGCATAATAAAAACCTCCACCTTTTTTGTCCACATCCAAAATGAGAAAGTAAAAACGTGATTTAACATGAGATAGCTTTTTTTTTTTACGTTTCTAAAACACTAAAAGTGCCACACAGACTACAATATCTCAAAGAGATGAATCTGACAGTGGAAAATCCCCATGGAGTTTCCCATGAGGTCAGTTATTGGTGAGATACCTCAAAAACCATTGGGGGAGATTTATAGAGGTTTTCAGACATCTGCATGGAAACCTTTCAACGGAGTAACCAGAGACATCTTTTTGTTTAACGTCCACTAACGAGCAAAACATGGCGGTTGTTTACATTCAATGACAAGAAGAAGGAAAAAAAAACATGGCGGTTGTTTTGTAGGTCAGACCTAAAATATCTCAAATTGACTTATTGCGCCCTCAGTTAATCAATAAATAATTTAATATTAAACATGAATAAAAAGTAGTAGACTAATAACTGAAGAAGAACGCGTGTGTGTGTGTGTGTGTGTGTGTGTGTGTGTGTGTGTGTGTGTGTGTGTGTGGGTGAGAGGGAGGGGGGGGGGTGTAAGACGCTATTCCATTGGATAGTTTTCGCCCCCCCTCTTCGATCTGCTCAGCATTCAGGAAGCGATCGCTGCCTCTGACGCCATGAGGTCACAGTTGTTCGCCGGCAGAGACGCGCACGGACGCACCGCTCCTGTCCGATCGTCCGCTTCTCGGCGCTTTAAAAAGAAAAGCGAGCAGGATTTCTTTCAAGAACTGCGCGGTTGGTCGACAGAGCCGCGAGGGACTATCAAGGGAGAAATCGACCCCCTCCGATAAGTTGTTTTCTTCCGGTAAGTTCTCGGTGCGGGTAAACGATTTACGCGCCGCGTCGCGTCGCACTGGCGTCTCCAAGAGCCGCGCGGAGCGTCGGGATGATTCCTTCAGTTTCCTTTCCTCGCCGCACGCCTTCTAGTTCTACTGAATATATTCCGAATATATTCCTGATTCCTGATTCCTGATATATTCCGAAAGTGAGCATTGGATTCGAAGCGCACATAAAGCGCACATAAAACAAATCCAAAGTTTTTTTTTGAAGTTGCCTTTCATCCTAAATCTTAAAATAGAAATGTCATGTTTCACGTTCTTTCTGTTCGGTGTGGCCAGATATTCTTTTTACATTTCATTTTATGTGCTTCAATAATTAATCATACATACTGTCCCTTTTGGAATAAACCAAAGCAACATGTACTCATGCATACAAGCTATTAAAACGTGAATGTCTATACATCTACAGTTGAAATCATGTACATCTGTAATAACCAACGTCTCCTCGGTAACCTGAAAACCCGTAAATCTTTTTCCTCCGCAGCGAGCCGCAGTTTGCCACTGGAACCATGGTGGCGGCGGTCATCCCCTTGTACTTCTTTGGAACGGCGCTGAGCGTCCTCGCAGTCCTCTACGGGATTGTGGACTCCTTTGGGGGGCTGATGTACGTCCAGGACTGTCCCCACGTCATGGACTTTGACTGGCAGACGCAGTGGCAGCTCTCCCCGGGCCGCCAACGGAGAGCATCTCCTCCGGCCAAGAACGTCGGCTCGTGAGGGGACGCGTCTCGTGTTTTATTTTGCTGCTGGCTGGACCATGTGGCCAACGGATGGATATTCAGGACATCTGACTCTCGTCTGCGCTGAACGGATTGTTTGAACCATGTCCACGGGTTCCAGAGAGCTCCCACGTCTGCGCGCGGTGCCTTCAAACGCGGCTCGCGGGCAAACTTGACGCCAGAAATGTTGCAGCACTACTGAATCATTTGCACTAACAATCGGAATGTTTTGTCTTTTTCAATATTACCGGATTAAAATGATTTGGTTTAAAGGTGTAACAGTGAGTAAAAAAACTGCACCCTCCACAAATATTTACTCCGGATGTTATACGGTTGTAAGTCGGGTTGAAAAGTATGTAGTGAAAGACTGAAAGCAATTTGGAACTAAAGGAATCTCACGTTGTCGCTATGAATACTTATCAGTCCTCACCCTCTAAGCACAGGAGACAAAACAAGCTCGGCCTCCGATCTGCCGTGTAGGAAAGAAGAAGTTTAATCAGTGATCGTTCCCTTTTCTGGTTGCGCAACAGGAAAGGGATTATGTTCACGAGGATCATTGTCCCTGTGGTCCGTCAACAAAGGCGCGGGGAATTCTCCCTGATGTTTACCCGCTTTCAGGTTAGCGTTTTACTTCCTGTGTGGATCAGTGTCATTGGGTCCAGGTTTTAATGGTCAAAGGTCAATCTGAGTTCCCACAATGGATTTTTGGGCAAGTGTACATAAGTGATGACAATTTCCTACAATTGTTTTATTGGAAAACATTAAAATGGTTGAGACATGCAAACCGGTAATTCTTCCGTCATGACTTGATGAGCGGTAAAAGTGAGAGTATTCCTCGGTGAGAGCCGTTTAGCACATGTTGAAACGAATATCCAGCACACGATGTGGAAGCTGAACAATGTGAATCACGATTATCTGTCGCTGAGTCAGTCGGCCCTCAGCCGCGGGACTCCGCAGGCCGACAGCTCGTCAAAATGAGTGCAAACCCACATAAACAAACTGAACTACTGAACTCAAGGGTCCCAGGCACGTAAGATAAGGAAATACAAAATGATGAAATTACACCTAAAATAACACACCGTGCTCGTTACTAGAAAAATGAAATACCGTCTCAAGCAAAGGGACGTAGTCATGGTCAGGGTGGATTAATAAAAGGTGGATTAATCAATGCGGCTGCTGCTTCGGCTTTGAGCGGTGAAACAAATCACCTCATTAGACCGGAATGGAGGAAACGGCACCCAAATGAAAGCTCGTGGGAACCTTAGATTTCCCAATATAAGTGACGTAAATGGTTCAGCCGTGGTTGTATTTCACGGCGCTCCCTGGTTGGTTTGGCTGTTGCTCTGTGTTGATGCTGCAGGCCTGTGGGGGGGTGGGGGGGGGGCAGCATTAGTCAGCACACCTGGGCCTGCTGGGCCTCCGCTCCCCACATTCAGCGGTTCCCTCCCTGCTGACTTTACAGATGTGTGCTACCCTTTTGTTCCCATCGCAAGATCGCCTTTGGTTTGTATTTGTTTTGTTTATTTTAAGAATTGTTGTAAATAAATAACTTGTGTTGTATAAACTGTCTCCGTTTTTTTCAGCAACACTTTCACATATTCAAGTGTTTTCCAATCCAAAAAACTCATAACAGTGTTTGTCAGTGCAAAGACAAAACGGTTGCACTCGTACAGAAATACTTCACAAAGACAACGTCTGGAAATCCCAAAAAGCCTGTTGGTGTTATGGGAAGTGTACGAGTCATCATTGATGACTATTAGGGTCCGTATGCTTCTCTGCTCATGAGTTTACTTGCCTTTAGGGTACCAAAAAAACCCATAAAATACAGTGGAGCTTGAACAGTTCGGGTCCCATTGAGCGCTTCCCAGTCACGACGTTCCTCTGTCCTCAGTGGGGGTGAGGACGTGTTCCAGGCGGTTCTCGCTCCACTACAGAAGTTGACCTTTTTTTAAAACTGTCAAAAGACTAAACAAGCAAGCGCTTGGTCTCCTGTCTGGCATGTGGACAAGACGTTTAATGATGATTGCGCAACAGGAAAACAGGGATTATGTTCGCTAGGGTCATCGTGTCACACGTATGACCACACCCTAGTTTGGTTTCATCTCACCTGCTCTCACTTCGGATCCTCCCACATCAGCTCATTACCCTCACCTGCTTCTCCACGCCCTTCTCCCCTGCAGTGACGTACATGTAGGAACAAATATCCAACCCCCAATCTGGAAGCCGAACAATGTGAATCACAATTATCTCTCACTGAGTCACTTGGCTGCAACCGTGGAATTCCACAGGCGATTGACTCGGGCCGACAGCTCGTCAAAATGAATGAAAGCCACATCAACGCTTTGTTGAACGAAACCGACCGAACTGTTGAGTAGTTCAGTCTGTTCCGTTCGGGGTCCCCGGCACGTAAGATAAGATGAGACAATATACTTCAACTAAAAGGAAATCTAGTTGGTGCAGCAGCACAAGGAGACAAATGAAAAAAGGAAATACAAAATGAGAATTCCACTTGAGGTGGTACTAGAAAAATGAAATACCGTCTCAAGCAAAGGGACGTAGTCATGGTCAGGGTGGATTAATACATGGTGGATTAATCAATGCGGGTGCTGCTTCGGCTTTGAGCGGTGAAACAAATCACCTCATTAGACCGGAATGGAGGAAACGGCACCCAAATGAAAGCTCGTGGGAAGCTTAGATTTCCCAATATAAGTGACGTAAATGGTTCAGCTGTGGTTGTATTATTATACAGCATTAGTCAGCACACCTGGGCCTGCTGGGCCTCCGCTCCCCACATTCAGCGGTTCCCTCCCTGCTGACTTTACAGATGCGTGCTACCCTTTTGTTCCCATCGCAAGATCGCCTTTGGTTTGTATTTGTTTTGTTTATTTTAAGAATTGTTGTAAATAAATAACTTGTGTTGTATAAACTGTCTCCATTTTTTTCAGCAACACTTTCACATATTCAAGTGTTTTCCAATCCAAAAGCACATAACGGTGTTTGTCAGTGCAAAGACAAAACGGTTGCACTCCTACAGAAATTCTTCACAAAGACAAAGTCTGGAAAGCCCAAAAAGCCTGTTACAGACTGAGGGTGTTATGGGAAGTGTACGAGTCATCATTGATGTGTCACCTATTGAGTTTACTTGCCTTTAGGATACCAAAAAAACCCAGAAAATACAGTGGAGCTTGAACAGTTCAGGTCCCATTGAGCGCTTCCCAGTGTAGGATATTAGAAATAAACTGACGATCCGGTTCATAAATTAATAAAATGCATATAGTGCACACCAGAATACAGCCATGATTCTGAAACTGTGTAATCAATACAGTAATGCAATATTGTAAAACCACTGTCATTCTGTAATAGAACAATACCAATGTACAGCTATGATTGTATTTGATGTAATGTAATCAACTGGAATGCATGCATGTAATACTTGCACAACAACTGATATTGACTGTGGGCCATTTGAAATCGTAGTTACATTGAACTCACTCCCAGAGGTGTGGACACTAACTTTCACACCTTTAAGCATTGTTATAAATACCTGTAGGAACCTTTGTTCCGGAGTTCGCTGGTGGAGGCAGCGGACGGGCACTATGGGGGGGTCAATGGGCCCTGGGGCCTGTTGGCTGCTGAGACCAGCGGCTCCTCAGCTGAAATGTTCTTTTTACCACAACACCATGTCTTTTAATAAATACATTTGATTTTAATCTTTCGATCTGCGATGTCCTTTGTCCGTCTGGCGTTTCTTCATTTTAAAACACAACACCAGTCAAGACGTTCCTTTGTCCTCTGTTGGTTTTCCCCCGGTGGGGGCGAGGAAGTGTTTGAGGCGGTTCTACATAGGTTGACCCTTTTTAAAACCGTCAAAGACAAAACAAGCAAGCACGTAGAGAAGAAGTTTAATGCGAGCTCGTCCCCTTTTCTCGTTGCGCAACAGGAAAACAGGGATTACGTTCGCTAGGATCATTGCGTCACACGTATGACCACATCCTAGTTCGTTTTCATCTCACCTGCACGTTCACTAACTCTCCCGTCACTTCAGATCCTCCCACATCAGCTCATTACCCTCCCCTGGTTCTCCCCTGCAGCACATCCCCTCGTCAGCTATTGAAGCCTGTAACATTCTGTTGTTGCCTGCCAGATTGTCTTGTGTGTGTGGAAAGTTTCCCAGCGTTTCTAAATTAGCCTGACATTCTTCTGTCCTGCCCTCGCCTGCCTTTTTGGGCACGAGTTCACTGCCTGCTCCTTTCCGGATTTACAGTATTTGCCTATCTGATTGCCTTCCGGTTCTGACCCCCTGTCTATTCTCGTGTACGGAGTCCTTGCCTGCCCCTCTGGATTTGTTTGCTTACGGACGGATCTCCCGCTTTTGACCTTGCCTGAACTTTTAGTAGAATCCACCTGTTTCTCCCGTCGTTGCCTGAGTCGGGCTTTTGGGTTCCTTCGTGTACCAGTAACCGTTACACATTGTCCCTGTGGTCCATCGACAATCCAAAGCAAACAGAGGAATCTCCGTAATGCTCAAAGAGACGTGTTTAGCCGCTTTCCAGGTTTTAATGGTCGAAGGTCAATCCGAGTTCGCAGAATGGATAACATTGAATTGAAATGGTGGAGACGTGAATGCAAAGCGGTAATTCTAGTTTTGTCATGAGAGGGGAAGGTAAGCGTAGTCAGCGTGACGATTATCTCTCACTGAGTCAGTCGGCTGCAACCATGGAAATCCACAGGCGATTGACTCGTCAAAATTGGTGAAAGCCACATAAACAAACGCTATATTACTGAACTTAAGGGTCCCAGGCATGTAAGAGAAATTTAGTTGATGCCCTAAAATAAATAAGGATAAGAAAATAACACACTGTACTCGTTACTAGTGTGTGAAAGTGTGCAACTGTCTTAAGCAAAGGGACATAGTTATGCCCCTGCGTGAATTAATCAATGGTGGATTAATCAATGGGTCGGAACAGACCGAACTGTTGAGTAGTTCAGTCTGTTCCGTTCAGGGTATCACGCATGTAAGATAAGGTGAGACAATATGCTTAAGGGAAACTTAGTTGATGCAGCAGCACAATGATAGAAATAAAAAAAGGACTCAAGTGAAAGCGCTTAGTTTTCTCAATCTTAGTGACAGAAATGGTCCTCTTTGGTTGTTTATTATTTCACGGCGCTCCCTGGTTGGTTTGGCTGTTGCTCTGTGTTTTTGGCTGCAGGCCTGTGGGGGGGCAGCATTAGTCAGCACACCTGGGCCTGCTGGGCTCCCCACATCCCCCCCACTTTCACGTTTGCTTTTTTTTAATAAAGAATTGTTGTAAATAAATGACTTATTTTGTGGTATAAAGTATGTCTCTGTTTTTTTTCTGCAACACTTTCACATATTAAAGTGGAACCCAGAAGCTCTTTGCAGCATAAGTGTTTGTCAGCACTTTACAAAGCGGTTGCACTCATACAAAAATATTTGACAAAGCCCAAAAGCTACAGACGGTGGGTGTTACGGGAAGTGTAGCAGTCAGCAGCTGTTTGGGAAATCTGTCAGGGCTTCGTATATGCTTGCTGTGGTTTTCTTGCCTTTAAGATACCAAAATAGCAAGCAAACAAAAACGTAAAAAGCAGTGGAGCTTGAACAGTCGAGCTCTTCCCACTCAAGATGTTGCTTTGTCCTCTGTTGGTTTTCCCTCGGTGCCGGAGGCGAGGAAGTGTACCAGCTTGTTGTAGAGTCCTCTCTCTGTGTGGGTTGCAGTAGTATCACCCCCCCCCCACACACACACACACACTGTCAGCCATCTGAAGCCAGTCATTATGTTTTATGCAAAGTAGTTTTCCACTCGGCTGATTTGACTTCTTCCTTTTATTCTTTCAGATCTCCCCCCGAACAGCTTAAAGCATAACTAATGTAGCTCATATAAACATATGGGTGATATTATAATGTGAAGAATATTAGCAATGTGATCTGAGGGGGGAAAAACACGTTATTTCCGTCAAAGGGGTTGACGTGAGGCTAACATGGGATTTAATAAGCGCATTGAGTTTCATTTTCCTGCAGCAGGATAAAGTAAACGGCCACAGCTGCATCAGATCAACACAGCTGCGTGTCTTTAGATTTCTGGAGAAGAAGGATCGGCTCAGGACCATCATGAGAATACTTTTTTTTTGTTGGGATTCTGGCAAAGAGAGATGGTTTATATTTTATGCAGCGTAAAGTTGTGCGTAAAAGCGTTTGGAGAGTCAGCCCGCTGGAAGCGTCATAAATGAACACATGACGTCCTCTTGCGTTCAGTGGGGCCACTACCATCACAACCAGGTTGATGCAAGAGTTCCGTTGTGCCGCATGAACGCCTCCTTTGAGTGTCAGAACTTCTTCAATCACGCAGGTTTTCTTCCTCTTTTTCCCCCCCGGACGCGTGTACCGATTCCCACGTTGGCCCTCCTTGCTTTGGTTGCAAATGTGCACAAGAAACGTGTCCGTCGAACACACTTGAAGTGCGCATCCTCCCAGCAGCTCGGGTCACCTGGATGCGGGCAGAAACACCTGCTGGCAGTGGATGCACTGAACGCAGCACTTTTTCTTTCCAGTCAAGGACCCGACCAGGCTGTTCCCTCTCAGAGCGCAAAACAAAGAACCAAGTCGGTGTCGGTCAGAAATCTCAGCTTTCTTTTCCTCTCGTTTTTAGTGTTTTTAATCATCTGATATGATCTGGACGCTCGTGGTCCTCCACGTCCTCCTCCTGGGAGCTGAGAGCAGCAGCCGCGGGGGGAGGACGGTGACTTTCCACCGGACTCAGCAGGATTTCGGGCGGGTCCAAGCGCGCGTACGCCCGGGGAGGGACACGAGCGGCTCCTCCGGCTCCACCAGGCCCGTTCACGGCCCCCCCTTCACCTCCTGTCGGACCCCCCTCACGCCCGTCGAGCACAAGGTTCTGGATGATAATACGCACGAGGTGAGGTGTGTTTGGGGGGGGGGGGCATTGTTCTGGGGTTTGGTGACTGTAGAACGCGGCAAATAATAATAATTCAATAATCTTCATTTCATTTGCAGTTTTGAATTTTCTTTAACGAGAAAAAGGAATAGTTTTATTGCACCAAAAGTTTACTTAATGTCAATTATGTATTTAAAAAATAATAAAAGAGTGACACTGTAATATAAAAGAAAAGTTTAAGAGTGCTCATGACATTAACACTGCTGTGTAGTGGTAATTAATTAATAATTATCCCTGCAGCCATTTGGTGAGCCGTGTTCTTTGACCACCACAGAATGACTGTATTTCATGACACTTCACTTAGTTTCTAGCCTTAGCAGCAGTGCTGTCATAAACATCTCTTCTCACTGCCTCCTAGACAGGGTTCAACGGCGATGATGGCTCCTATGTGATCCTCACATGGGTGGGCGATGGCACGGGGGTGAGTACGGCGGCGTGAAGTCAGACAGGAACGTGTGCGTCGGCCCGACCGGATTCACATTTCGCTCCCTACGGTTAAAACATTTGAACCACGTTGCATCATTTCCCAGGTGGTCCTGGTGCTGTCGACGTTCAGTGCTCCGATAGACTCCTTCATCGAAGGCGGCTCCTCGCGACTCTACCGCAGGTATCAGACCACCCCACACCTCGCAGGAGGTAATGGACTGGGCGGATGAAAACCATTCTTTTCCTCTCTCATCAGCACGGACTACGCAAAGTCCTTCCACGACATCTCCCATCGGATCAACAACACCTTCATAAGGGAGGAGTTCGGAGTCAGCGTTGGACCCGGGAGCTCTGTGAGTCCACACCTTGGGAGCGGTTGGTGGGGGGGGGGGTCGGCATTCGAAATTTGAGTTGTCTTTCTTTGTGCTCAGTGAACGATTTGAACCGACAGGTGATTCTGACAGCGGACGTCCCGGTGGTGAACCACCCGGGCGGGATCATCTTCACCTCCACGGACGCCGGCGCGACCTTCAAGTTCATCCAGCTGCCCTTCCACCTGGCTCAGCCGATCACGTACCACTTCCTCAACCCCGACTACCTCGTGGCCCTCAGCATCGATGTGAGTCACGCATGCCTTTAAATGGGTGTGATAGCTGTCGTAACCCCCCCCCCCCCACATCAAGCACACACATACAAGCGTAAAACGACTCCTCCAATTCCCTCCTTTCCGGTCTTGCAGGGCGGCCTGTGGCTCTCTCTGGACTTTGGTGCCAAGTGGACAAAAGTTCACGATGGAGTGCATTCCTTCTCGTGGTGAGCATAAACAGGAAATTAAAAATCCCACACAGAAGCGCAGTGCGCCTAAAATAAAGTGGGGCCCAGTTACATTTTTCCCAACTTCCCTCTTTCCACCAGGGGGGCCGGCGTCAACTTATTCTTCGGCTGCAGTCGAACGGACGCAGGTAAAGAGCTACACGCAAAATGCGCTCTCGCGATGTGAGCAGGGACGGTGACTTTTGTTGAACAGTTTCAAGGGGGGGGGGGCTAAAATTGAAGAAAGCACAACCTTAAACAGGAACATCTCATCCCTGACAACGTTTGAATGCAATCAAATGACCAACAGCATCGCATGGTTGCTCGCTGGTCTTGCATTGACTGTGCCTTCCATCCACACTCGACCCGTTTGAATGAAGACAAAGGGAAAAAGTCCATCAATGAGACGCTTCTTGCTTCCACAGTTGAGGCAGAAGAAAGAGGGGATTTAGTCCTGAAGAGGACCAAAGACCTGGGGAGGACATTCACCGTAATCCACGAGGACATCTACAGTTTTGGCTACATAGGAGCCTTTCTGTTCTTCTCTGTGATGGAGGATCCGGTAAGACGTGTGAATAAGATGCAATAAGATACGGTCTTTGCAAGCATCTTAGAGCACTAACAGGATACGGATGCATTGTTCTACTCCCAGAGGTCCCCTCGGGTCATGTACTTCTCATCAGACCAGGGGGAAACCTTCAGTAGAGCACTGCTCCCTTCTGCCTCCACTGAGCAGGTGAGACCCAGATTGAAAAAAAAAAACGTCGTTTCAGCTGCTTCAGGAAAGTTTATTTGTTTATTGCAACGTATTAAAACCCAAGCAGTACGCTTTTCACTTTGAGTTATTTTGGAATGGCCTCATGCAGGGTACCTGCTTGTTTGGTATTAATGGAGCACAGATTAACAAATAATGTCATGTCCCTAGTGGACCTGTGTTTACTTATCCTGTGATCAGAGAGTTCCTGAATTAAATTAAATTTACATCAGAAATTTGACTTCTTTTGCACCACTTGCACCACCACTGGAATTGCACAGACGTTTTTTCTCGCACTTTTGAGTCACACTTTACGAAAGCGCTCAAACTCTTAAGACTCAGTCAAGCTTATTTTTGGTTTGCCTTGAGTAAGAACAACGATGGCAACATTTCCCGTTTCAACACCAACCGAACACACATCTGTTCTGGCGAAACAACCTCCCACATACAAACGCTGTTGACAGCCCAAACAGACTGTGACACGACGATTAGACGTGGTTTATAGCAATGATCAGATTACTCTCACCCGCTCTTAATATGTGCATGTTTGCAGTTCTACTCCATCCTGGATGGAGACACAGATATGCTCTTCTTGCACGTGGACAACCCAGGAGGTAACAGACAGAAACACACACACACACACACACACACACACAATGCCTTGTCCATATCTTCACGCCGCGTTCGATACATATTCGCAGCGCGGGTTTGTGGCTCCGTCAGCCCCCCTTTAATCTCAACGGAAAAGCTCAACGGTAGACGACCGACTGGTTTCGCAAGTTCCTGGTGTTGCTGACAAGTCATTCCATCAAAAGCGAGATTGTGTTTGTGCATGCGAGTCCTGCAGGTTTACTCTTTGTTCCTTTCTCTCACTCCCTCCCCCTCTCATTCAAATCGCCATCAAGTTTTCATCTTGCGTTCGTACCGCTCAGATGAACAGTGGAGATATGGGGGAAGAGGGTTTAAAAAAAAAAAAGTTAACCTTTTGTTGGCTGAAGGAAGAGATATTTAGTTTACACTGCAAAGAGCTGACAAACATATCTTGGGATCAGGGTGTAACACAAGCAGACACACACACACACACACGGTAGAATTGTAAACCTCCCCCCCGGCCGAGCTCGTCCTTCAGGACTTTAGCTGACTCGAGCGTCACGCGTGTGAAAAATTTGATTGATGATGATGTCGTTACGCTGACGCTGGGAGGATTGTGTCAGCGTTGCATCTGTTGTTGCCAGCTGCCCGATTCTCTTTGTAACACGTTTTGAAAAAGGTGCGATGTTGTAGGAAAACAAGGGGGCGGCGTTTCACTCTCCTCAGCACCATACCTTTAAGTTATCGGACAATCCTCAACTGGCATATGGTCAAAGTTCATTTTGTGAACGTTTTAGGTTGTTTCTGGCCGGATCTTGTTGTGTTGCACGTTGCACGTTGAGTGATCGGCACGTCTGCCTCAGTGTAAGGAGACTAAACTTCTTCTTGGTGTCCACCGCAGACACCTTCTTCGGAACAATGTACACATCAGACGACCGAGGCATCTTGTTCTCCAAATCACTGGAGCGCCACCTGTTTGATGGGCAGAGGAAGAGCGATTTCACCAACATAACTTCCCTGAGAGGAGTCTACCTCACCAATAAACTAGACACGGGTAGGGTTTCGTTCTTCGTTTCCACCAATGCAGTTTCTCATTGAATAATGTTTCTTTTGTGGTCCAAAAACTATTAAAAGTAAATCCCTCATCCACCTTTGCTGTTGTAAATGCACCATTTACTGTCATGCTTGAGTGACATTTGCTTGCTGATGTGTTTAATCTAAAAGCTTCTGCCTACCCTCCTTGGCTGTTTCGTAACAGATGGGCGTATACGATCCGTCATTTCCTTTAACAGAGGAGGGACATGGAGACCCCTTAACAAACCGGAGAATGTGGAATGTGAAGAGCAGGTCAAAAACGTAAGCGCAGTCACACAGGCTGCAGGTATTAACATCGCATTCTACAGACCAATAAATGACATGGCGTGTGTGTTTCTCCATCAGTGCAAACTTCATATCCACGGAGAGCACAGTCGCAACATCCGCATCGTGCCCATGCTGGCTCTGTCGGAGCCGAGGGCCATTGGTCTGGTTATCGCACACGGTAATCGCACATTTACCTTTTGAAACAATGTCGTGGCTTCAACAAGGTCACACACAAGTCACTCCCCAAATCAGCACAACAGCAATATCCAATATAGAGTCTAATGGAGGTAATCTGCTCTCCTCTCCAGGTACCGTGGGCGACTCCCTGTCATCGTCACAGCACCCAGATGTGTTTGTCTCCTCAGACGGGGGTTATAACTGGAGGGGGACACTGAGAGGTCCTCACCACTACAGCATATTGGACTCTGGGGGTCTCATCGTGGCTGTGGAGGTGCAGCGGGGAGGACAAGTCAAGACCATCAAGTACGGCACGGATCCTTTTTTACCTCACGCACAGTGAGACGATAGTGGCACTCGGCAAGATGGCGCGCACGAGGACGCGTACGTACTTCATTCTCTCTTGCCGCCACTTCTCGCCGCCAGGTTTTCCACAGACGAGGGCCAATGCTGGAAGTCCTACAACTTCACGGTGCAGCCTTTCTTCTTCGCCGGCCTGGCGTCAGAGCCGGGCACCAAGGCCATGAACGTCAGCGTGTGGGGCTTCCGCCCCGAGGAGGACGGCCAGCCCATGTGGGTGGCCGTCACCATCGATTTCCAGAGCCTCATTACGAGAGAGTGTGAGTCGAGGGTGGCGTGACGCCATCTACTACAAAACCTACCCCCCCCCCCCCTCGCCCCTTCTACCGTGCACGCACATGGTAGCGTCCTGTGGTGTGTGAGTCGAGTTGTCTAGAAATGTGAGACTTCTAGGAAATGACTCATGAACTTGGCATTTCCAAAGCTAAACATCATGGAAAGTTCCCCTTCTTTAATTTCTGTTGAATTTGACAAATGCTTTGTGAAATCCAGTGCACCACAGCGTTTGACATTTTTTAAATTCCCCATCTTGTGTTGTGCGCTTCGATCTCTTGATGATCTCATTCGGATGTTGCTTATCGCCTACTTACGCTTATCCTGTAACGGAAAACATGCAACGCAGAGGTTTATTTCCCGACCGAAACGACATTTAACCTCTTTTTGGTTTCACTTTACCAGCCATTGTGCCAGTGACTGTTCTGATTGGTCGTCGTCTAACCCCATCAGGTACCGACGAGGACTACGAAGAGTGGTTGGCGCACGCCACTGACGGCGGAGACTCGAGGACAAACGGCTGTCTCTTGGGTCTCAAAGAGACCTACAGGCGGCTGAAGAAACAGTCCGTGTGCAGGAACGGCCGAGGCTTCGTGGTGAGCAAGAAGCGAAGCCCCTGCCTGTGCACCAGGGAAGACTACTCATGGTGAGTCACACAAAGAAGGTTTTTGTTGTTGTTGTTGTTGTTGTGAAAAGCCAGTTTTATCACAACTTAACTTAACGTTTTGGCGCCATGCAACCAAGGCCGCACGGAGAATGCTCCCCGGTGAAAGCCTAACCTCTGTCCTTATCCAACAGCGACTACGGCTTCTACCCTCACGTGAACACCTCGGAGTGCGTGAGACAACACGGCGCCGCCAATAAGACCCTGGAGCTCTGCCTGAACGGAGAGGAGGACGAGCTGCTGACATCGGGGTAAAACGAGCGGTGCCATCCTTTCTTTGGATGGAGAAACGCTCCTCCTGCGCAATGCACACTCACGCGCATCGGCCCGCCTGTGTCTGCAGGTACCGCAGGGTCCCGAGCGACCGGTGTGAGGGGGGGTTCAGTCCTCAGCTCGCAGTGCAGACAGTCGTCAGACCCTGTGGAGTTAAACCCAGCCCGGGTCCACCCGCCAGGTCCTCTTCTCCGGTCACGCACTTTGACACACCGGTCAGTAGACTCACAGAAGCACCTCACACCTGTGTAATAACCAAATATCTAGTATCTGTCTGTATTATTTAATATTTCTGTATTATTCTGTATATTTAATTTTAGTCATTGTGGATTATTGTATTACTGTTTTTTTACTGTCTGTGTGCAATTTTTACTTCTGCCGGTTAAATTTATTCTGCTGCGGGACTAAAAACGGATTAGTTCGTCTTATCTTATCTATGCATGTGTCCTTTCAGTTGTTGCATGAGGTAAGCTATTTGTGAGTAACAACGGCTGCTGGCATGTGTGTTTTCCCAGCGAGAGAGGCTGGTGTTGATCCTGGTGTGTGCAGGAGCCGGGCTAATTGTTGTGGTGGCGATAGTTTCAGCAGTCTTTGCAGTGAGAAGAGGGCTTTACAGACACCGGTGAGCTGCGCGCACACACACACACACACACACACACACACACACACACACACACACACACACACACACACACACACACACACACACACGTCTGCGGTGCATGTGGTCATTCTGGTTTCATGTCGCCCCCACAGGTCACCAGTGTACCGTTTCTCCAACCTCCGGATTCAGGACGAAGATAACGGCGTCACGGCGGATCTCGAGAGCGGCGCCAGCAGCAACGGCACGGCCTGCCAGCTGGAGTCAGATGACGTAGGAATCAGCACCGTTATCAGTTATAACATATTGTTCCCCTTGTGTACTAATACATCTGTGTTCTAATATCAACAGGATCTTATTGAATGACGCAATTCTATGGATGCACTGAATATTCAGGATTGGGACGAGCCGTGCTGAAGAAAAACTGCTATGGACTTTTGTCAGACTTATCCCCAATATCTTTATGGGAGCACCCTCTGCGGAGAGGTTCGAGGATTTAAAGGACGAGCATGAAAGTGTCTAATTTATTGAGTTTGCTTAATTTCAATGTGTTACTTTGCTTATTATTTGATTTATTTGCACAGTATTTGTATTTCACTTTAATTGTACTTAAATTGTACCTTTAATTGTACTGTGTCTTGTTACTTTCTATCCAACGTGAAACCAAATAAGACGAAGAAGTAACAATGTGCATTTGTAAAAAAAAATTAAAAAAAAAGAAACGATAAAAGTCATAAAAATATTTAGAATGTTATGTTTTAAATGCGCCATGAATTAAATAAATATGAACCGCTCGAAGCCTCCGCGGGGCGGCGCTGTCTCCCGTTTTAAACAGAGAAAAAGAAAGGGGATTTATATTGGTTAAGATGTCTCACTCGTGGAGAAATTTGGTACAGCGAAGTTTCTCAAAAATCACATTCAATATTCGGCCACAGGGACCTTAAGCATGCGCGTTTATACTATTACCATGATTGCCCAGATATTGATTAAATATTATAGACATTTCAGTCTATTAACCAGTTAATATTTAGCCGTGAGTCACACGGTGCAGAGTTTAGGGTAATTTGGGCCAATATTTGCCCATGTTTATATGACAAATATACAAGTAAAATGTATTTTAATTCTGAAAGCATAAAGAGATATTACATATTGCGTACACAAATTTAAAATAGCAATGCATAGATCAACCTACAATAAGTAAATGAGCAAAAGCTGAAAAAAACAAAAACAAAGCCCTTTAACCCTTCTAAAAGTGTTGTTTAATTTCATTCTTTTGCTTTGTTACAACCAAACATCACGTACCAAGCGCCGAGTTTGGTCAATAAACAAACAAACAAACGCTACGGATCCGCCCGCCTGTTCGTCTTCGGTTTCTCCGGCGGAGTGGAGCATCCTCGCGCTGTCGCCATGTCAACTCACGTTTCAAAACCAACCAGCAGCCGATCAACCGCCCGAGCGAGTCACTCGGAGATTGTTGGCTACGCTTCAGTTTGAAGAGGTAAGCCGGGTGTGGCCTTTCGTCTTCTCCTCCATTCTTCCAATGGAAGCATTAAACGCTGCTTCGAAGTAATCACTGCCGCTGACTTCCCGCCGGAGCCCATTTCGCCGCCCGTCAGGGGAGAAAATGCGGGGCAGGGAGGAGGAGGAAGTCGACGCGGCGTCTCGTTTGTGACGTCGTTTCGACACTATTCGTGTCACGGCCTTTTCAGCCGAGCCAAAGTGACTCGGAGCAACTCTTGTACCCGCGGGTCATCGTTCGAATTCATCGAGAAGCCGACGGTCAAGACCGTCACTTGGCTGTGACCGTTAACGTTACACCGGGTTGAGTCCCCGGAATAGTTCACCCGCACGCCCCGGAGAGAGAGATATTGGGGGGCGGGGTCACACACACTCACGCGTTGTTTTATCACTGCAGGTTTTTTTTTTTTTTTTAATCTTCTTGACGAGTGGTCGGAGGAGGAGGAGGAGGAGGAGAAGATGGCCAGGGCTGCAAGTAAGTGTGTCCACTGTGATGTTATACACCGCAGAATAACAACCGTGGTGGAGGAGGATCTAATGTGTGATTTGATGTTCCTTCACGTCAATCATTCAGGTATTTTGAAGTTGGCCGTGGTCATCCTCGTGTTCCTGCTGGTTGTCTTCATGGCTTTCCAGCTGCTGGAGATAAACATGGACTTCCAGATTGGCGGTGTGATGTGTGAGTAACCGTTGTCGCAAGATGATTTTGCAAGGGAAGCATTGTGGATTAGTGGGTCCTTCCCTTCACATAATTATTAATATTATTATCATTAATAATAGGCTAATTGTCTGTCTTGACATAATTACAATGATCTCCACTTAAGTCAAATTCCTTGTATGTCTGACATGTTATGGCAATAACTGTTTCCTGATTTAATATGAACTTTTCTTTCTGCTTTTCAGCAAGATCTGTGCCGTTGAATGAAGGCTGTAAGTATGTTACAGTTTGTTATTCAGTCTTTAGCAACAGTGCACTGGTATTACCCACAAATAGTAGAAATTTACACAACAAAACCCCCCTGGTTGGTCTTTCCGTTGTCGGATTCCGGTTTTACCGGATTTAGTGTAAAACGGCGCTTTCTATTCACAGCAGCAAAGCCATTCCGGCACAAGTGTGGCCTGACCAAGTCGTGCCCGCCCGGAAACCTGCCCTTCCGGATGACGAGCGGCGCGGCCAGCGTCGTGGGACCCAGAGTCTGCCTGAACGACAAATTGTGCGTCAAGTAACACCTTGAAAGTCATTAACACACACACACGCGCACACACACGGCAGCTGCTTCCCGGCACGGGTCAACACTGCATTGTGTGCGCCTGTAGCGGATGCTTCAGCTCAGCAGTAAAGCATCTCGGCTTATAATGTTTGATAAAGGTCAGGCTGGCACGCTCCCCCCCCGAGTCCGGGAACTCCTTCCATGTCAAACATTGAGTAATACTCCGCCTTGAGATTAACGGGCAGAACAGAATATGTGAAATCGCCCACGGTGGCTCTCCATCCTCACCGTGCTCCTCTTCTGCTTGTGTTTCTTTTAGAATATTGAGCGCGGTGAAGAACAACGTGGGGAGAGGAATCAACATCGCCCTGGTCAACGGTAACGCCGTCGGCTAGACGCCGCGCCTTGAACGCCTTGAAATGTGGCAGCGCTGGTTTCATTGTGTTTCCATTTTGGGGACAAGGGGCGGGGCTTCTTTGGGTCGTTTGCCTTTGCTGGTAGTAAACCGAGGAGGAAGCGCTGTGAATCAACTAACGACAATAGTGTGAGTTTTGACTCCACATCTGAATGAAAATATTCTAAGTTGGATATTTTTCCCCCACAGGGAGAACAGGGGACGTTATCAAGACGGATTACTTTGACATGTGGGGAGGAGGTGAGTGTGTACCCCAAACCGTTTGGTCTCAGACGTTTAGCGAATTCGAAGCGAATGCGACATGTTCACGGCGTGTTGTTGTTGTTGTTGTTCAGAGGTGGCTCCCTTCATCACCTTCCTGAAGGGCATCGAGGACGGCACGGTGGTGATGATGGCCTCGTTCGACGATCCGGCCACAAAGTGAGGACTTTCTCCCCCAGAACCGCCTGCATGCACGCGTCTCTATTCCTCTTGTCTCTCTCTTGATACCCGCCTCCTTCGCTCGGCAGACTCAACGACGAAGCCAAGAAGCTGATCGCCGACCTGGGCAGCACCGCCATCAACAACCTGGGCTTTCGCGACAACTGGGTCTTCGTGGGGGGGGAAAGGCATCAAGACCAAGAGTCCGTTCGAGCTGGGTAACGCCTACGTCTGCTCCCCCGACAGGAAAGCACCACGCGGTTCAGACGCCGTAATGTTTAACGTAACTGACTCTTGTGTCTTATTGATTCCCTTTGTTTGCCCCCACCCCACCCGCCCCCCTCTCTTTCCCCAGCATATAAAGAACAACGCAGAAACCAACAAGTTCGAGGGGTGGCCCGACGTGCTGGAGATGGAGGGCTGCATCCCTCAGAGGCAGGACTGACCCGAGCTCGGCTCCTCCCGGCGACCCCCGTCCCCCCCCTATGCGATGCCCGACGAGCGACTTAACACTCACGGCCCCGCCTCCTGAGATTGCCGTTTACATTTGCCCAACCGGAGCGGGAAACCTTCCAGGCGAGGGAAAGAAAGGGGAGCTTCTGTGAAACCGGAAAGGTGAAGCTCGGACCTGTCTGGGAGCATCAATGTAGGAGGAAGTGAAGCGGATCACGCGGACCTCCGCTTGGTTGTCGGCGTGCCGGGACACTTTCTGTGTGACGCCCGCAGACTGTTACTGATGCTGTTGCGTAATTGCACTGTTACTCATGGAAATGGTTTTCAGGGCCCGCAGGGCCGTGTTTCCTTCTTCCTGTTTTCTGCCTTAATCGCTTTGTTGATTGGTCTTGGCTCCTTTCGGAGAGAATTTTTACTGGGAAAATAGTAATTAACAGGGTTTGAAATGCTTACGTTACAATGTAATCAAATGTACCAAATTCACTGTGAAATGTGTAAATATCCATTTAGAAAATAATCTAAAAGATCTTAAATTAATGACCATTTTAACTATAATATAAATTCTTTTAATAAATGATATTGGTAGCTAAATGTGTGTGTGTGAGGGGATTATATATGTTTTTGTTATATTTAGCGGTGTGTGTGTATGTGGTTTTCTGTTTGTCAAATAAAGTTGATGCCTCCGATCACATTAATTACGTGCATTTGATGCTATGATGGATGTATATAAACATTAATACGAAGAGGCAAGATGCAAGCTTGCTGAAGTTACAAACAATGCAGATTTTCATCTGTAAAAAACACCTTAGAGGGGAGAATAAAGTAAAAGTAAAGAAATTGTAGATCAATCTAGTTAAATCTCATCGTTGGTTTCAGAGCTTCAGGCCAACAATCAGGATCACTTCAAGGACGGAATTCATGTTTTTCCATTTTTCTCTTTTCAAGTGTCCGTAATAATATTCTCTTTGGCCTCACGCACGGTCCGTATTATTTTTGGGTGAATTTCGGTCGTTCTCTACTCCTTTACCTCCATGTATCATTCAGTCAGGACACTGTTCCCCTTTTTAAAATTCTGTCATGGTCTCCACCCGTCTCTCCACCTCCCCCCTTGAGAGGATTCTACCCCAATCAAGTGTCATAAACGTGCTGAAATAAATGTTTTGAGAGGTAAAACTATTAGGGGTGTAACGATTCATTTTAACAACGATTCAACGCGATTCATGGTTGCCGATTCGATTAAGTGACGATCTGGGTTAATTTAGAACGATTCGATTAGATTCAGTGACTTGAAATCGATTCAGTAACTTTACTGGACAGTGCAGGCAAAGTTTCTCAGATCCCTGTTGTTTCTTGTAAGGAAATTAGGTTTAAATTAATTATGGATATTATAAACAAGCAAACAACAATTAATGGCGAATGTATTAACCTTTTATTTGAATCAAGTGCCATTTTCAATGTAAACATAATAATTACACAATGTTTGGATCAATCCACAGAACCCCGGATTTTCAACCACATTGTAGGGTCGCATGTCTTTACAGATAAACTTGGCAATTGTTGCTGTGATGTTGAGTTTGGTGCTGGCGAGGCCTGAGGAGTCTGCAGAGCTGCAGTTACCTGCTGCTGCTGCAGCGGTGACGCTGCTAGAGGTCCTGACTGTCTGCGTTGTTTAATCCCACGGCGCCTTAGTAGATGGCCGGAAAGATTCGTCGTGTTCCCGTGGTTTTTTATTTGTCTTCTACATATTCTACAAACAGCGACCGACTTATTTAGAACACCTCCGTGTTTGCAAAAGCCAAAATGTTTCCACGCGCTGGATCGATAAGTTGGTTTGTAAATGTCTCGCTCTCAGTCGTCTCCTCCACGCTGTGTTTTGTTGTTGTTCCGAGTTTCGCGCGGCTGCCGCTGCGTACTGATGACGTCACAGACAGGCAGACTCAATCGAGTAACGTTTAACGTGTCTAAAGTGCTAAAAAACAAACAAACAAACACACATCCATACCGTTTTTGTGCTTAAATCCAATGTGCAGTTTCCAAGTGTCGATACAAATCGATTATGTACCATTTCAATCGATTTGTAATCGATATATGTCGTCCGGAATGCCGATTTGCGGAGCACAGATCGATTCAGTTGGATCGCAGGAAAATAAATCGATTAATCGATTCAGTGGATGAATCGTTACACCCCTAAAACCTATTCATGCATTCTGAGTTGTTCACTTACAATAAGTGCACCTGAAGCGTGTATTTCTTTCCCTCGCCGCCTTTCTGCTTTACTTGTTTTTAACACCCTTCAACAGAAAACCCTCGAGGGCCTCGTGCCCCTCCGTCTCACGCCGCCGTGCATCGGGGTGACGTGCACAAGACGTCCGCTGGGACGGAACTGCTGTCTCCAGCCCGACAGCCAGAGAGCGCCGTTGTCTCACTTTACTCGCCGGCTTCGCCGCAACAAGCGGTTTGGTGTTGAAGCGTCGGCGATGCGGCACGTGGCCTGCAAGTCAGAGGCCTCTCTCCTCCTTCACAGCCTGTGTACTGAATCAACAACGTGAGCGCCGCGTTGGAGGTTTCACCAGCGCTCTTTGCCCCCTCGCGAGTGTAACGCGAAGAATTTGGTCTAATTTGTTGGTCTTAACATTCGATTCGCGCCCGTTGCGTGATGTGAATGCCAGAGGGCGCCGAGTGTTTGCACGCAACCTGCACATCAACCTCACACAATGTCGTCCTCCTACTCTGAAGATACACAAGAACATCCTGGTATCTCCTCTACTCACTGCACACCAACACGGAGCACCGATCAGACAACTACCACACGTACTTTAGCAATAATTTGTGTTTTGTTTCGGTCACACAAACAGGGGCACACGTGTGTGTGTGTCTCACATGTGTCTCAAAGTGTGTCCTTCTTGAGCTTGACTGCCTGAGCTCTTCCCTTATTCCCCTCTCCTATGACGGGAAAAACACCGCAGTGCTCTCGCTCTGATCTCCTCCCAGCCCCCTGCGTGACGCCCCCCCCCCTCCTCCTCCTGACATGTTGTGTATCTGTGACATCGTGTGGATGGAATGGACGCGTCGCATCGCACATCTTCACGTGGGCCTCGCACGCAAAGAGAGAGAGCGAGAGAGAGCGATGCAGCGCTCAGGGCGCCGTTGGAAAGCGTACGTTCCTCTGCGCTTCGCGTGGGCTGAAAACCCCATCTTGGGCAGAAGCGTGGGAGTGAGTTTTTCTCCACCTCCTCTTACATAAGACGCGCTATATGTGCTGCATTATGCATGGACTGAGAATACTCCCGGCCCGTGATCCTCTCACCGCGAGACGCCTCGCGGGAGCCCGAGGGCCAAAGCCGCGTGAAACCCAGGAGGACGATGAGGACAACGCGCTCTCCCGTGTTGCTGCACGGAGCGAGTTCCCCTCGGCCTCCGCTCGAAACAAAAGCGCTCGTTCCCCTCTGCCTCGGTGTGACCTCTGACCCCTGCACCCCCCCCCCTCCCCCTCCTCCCGGGCCACAACTTGAACCTCCTGCTCACGTTGCACCCACGGCCTCAATTACACGCCCACCGTATCTCTCCGATCTTTGACTGTAAAGAAAACACTACGACTCCCACCAAAACGCACACACACACACGCAAAGGAGGCACTTTCTTCTGTCTCTGCAGCCTAAAAGTGGCGTAACAACCACGCAGAGGTAAGAAGACGTCGTCAACATCATGACCACTGGTGGCAAAGGGGAGATATTACAACACTCTGAGAGTGTTTTTGCAATGTGTTTTCTGGCCAGCGGTGGCGACACTGAGCCAGAAGACAGTTTTCAGCTTCTTTTAGTGTTGCAAAGGTGAAAGGCACTGTGAGAGAAGTGCATTTTGAAATACATTCATTCGGAGGACACTTTGGTCCAAAGCCTTTAGAAGAAGAACAACTTGATGCCCCTCAAAAATGACATCGTGCAATACATTTATATGTTTGATGATTTCATCTCCAAGCACCGGGCTCACATCAAGCAGCATAAATGTCCCCTGAAAGCTCCCGCACGGCTATTTGTGGACTCCTATATTGTCTGTAGGGTTGTAACCACTCCCCTCATCTGCCTCTTATCTGATACCGGACCCCGAGGAGCCCAGCCCCCCCCCCCCTGCTTACGCCCAGCTATGAACAGAAAAGGTTTTCCACAACTGCTCCTCTCTGGGTTTTTCAACCACCCCCTCAAGTCCAGTCACTTAAATAGCCAAATGTCACTTTTACTTACTCACCTGCACTGTATATATCATCATTAACTGTGACTCTTGGCACAGAGAGAGCAATGGAGAAGCAGAAGAGGCGGAGGGAGTAAAACTAAACTCTCAAAAGGCAGCGTGGGAAGCGGCGCTACGGCGTCGAAGTGGTTTTGCAAAAAGGTGCGAGAAGCCCTTCCCCCCTCGGTCTCAGCAATGACCCCGGTGCCCTTGCTTTCTGCCCCACCACCAATCCTATAATTGCCTCTCTCACACACACACACACACACACACACACACACACACACACACACACACACACACACACACACACACACACACACACACACACACACACACACACACACACACAGAGTCCAGACAGCTGTTTTTAAACTCAGTGGGTCTGTGAGAACTTCCTGCTGACCTCAGCACAGACAGAAAAACAGCGTGCAGGCCGCCGGCCCTTAACTGGATCAATCTACTCATGTGCATATTTTCACAAAAACAATCCCTAAATGGACACACACGATCGCACACAGAACTATGTAGCATGGAAGTATAGACTACGGGACATTTATGTTGTTTTTATGATAGTCTCTGGGTATCTGGGGATACTCAATCAAGTGCTAAGCCCTGAAACAAACCTCTCTTCCCCCCCTTAATGGCTAACACGGTCGATACTCAAATACACACAGCGTCCCTCTGGTCGTCTGTGTAAAACAAAAGTCTCTTTCACAGCCACGGTTCTGACTCTCTGCTCCGTTTTGAGCTCAGCGTTCAGGAAGTTGAGGTGGATCGGATCTTTGCAATATCCCGTAGAAGCCAGTGTGAATGTAATCTTTCTGACCAGCTGGTTGGTGTTCAGGCGAGTTTCTGCT